ACTACTTATCATAACGGCCCCTTCGCCCCGCCTCATCGCTCTTATCGATTCATTATAACGTTCCGCTCTTCGGGCCTAATTCCCAAGCCCTTCGGCACAATAATCTTACACGCGGCTTCCTATAGTTTGAAAGTCGGGAAGGAGATAGGCTCTAGTAAATTTATTATAAGGCCAGTAATAAGAGTAATTAGTAATATATTTGGCAGGGTAGGGTAATTAAATATAAAGTCGATAAATATTTTACTTTAAATAGTAAGTTCTAATAATTTTAAAACAGCCTTATTATTATCTTTTTAAAATTCGTTATCGAAGAGTAATGGTAGGAGAGGGGTAAGACCGTTATTTTCTATATTTTAATTTATATTAAAAAGTTTGAAATATCGTATAAATAATTAAAAAGGTTAATCAATTTAATTAAATAAATCGGCAATTGCGTTACTAATTAACTTTAATCCTTCTTTAAAATTGTTAAGGTTCCTTAAATAAATTAAACCTTTATTAAAAAATATATTACGTGTATAGACAATATAGTTAATCTACAAGTTCTAAAATTAATAAATAGAAGAAGTAATATAACTGATAAAGAATCCGATTTAGGCTTTTAATTAAAACTTTTTGTGCTATTATTCTTTTTTTTATATAGTATTTATTATTACGTATATTTTATAACTATAAATACGTAGATAATTGAAGTTAAGTTTACGGGGCTCGGTTTATACCCCTTTACAGTAAATTACGATAGTATAAAACCATTGGTATAGTAATTTCTAATTATAGAAATACTTAAGTAATTAGTTAGTAAAATAGACCAAGGCTAAAATAATTTAAAATTAGAAATTATAAGGGAATTTAACGCTATTTATTATTATACGCGCCTTTTCTTAAATTATACCCCCTAAATATTCAATGTTGTTGTTTTGAATTTAAATATTAAGTATTGAGGGTTCGAAGATAATAACGCGTATAATTAGCTTATTTTTAATATATTAATTCTTAAATTCATTATTATATTTAATATATTTAATTTTGATATTATATTAGTAATTAATTATATCGATAACCAGAAGGAGTTTTTTAATAGTAGCTTTAACTATTCGGTTCGTTATATAAATATATTAAACGAATTTAATCTATCGATAAGTAATAAATATAATATATTCAAAGTTACCTCTCCTTACTTTATATTTGAGGAAATTAATAACGAAAGGCTCTCTTAGGCTTAATCCTCTATCTTATCATTTTCGTTTAATTTATTATTTAATTTTTAAAATACTATACGAATCGTATTAATAAGTAGCAGGCCCTTTGAATTTAATACCTTCGATATTATAAAAGTATTCGAAGATTTGAAAATTATAATAACCGAATCGCTTATATTAGAATTTAACGGGCATTTTATATATACGACGGCCGGTAAAGGAATTAAAGCGATTTCGACGAATAAAAAACGCGGCCTAATTAAAAGACAGGGGTAGGTATTCGAGGACTGTCTAATAATAGATTTCTTAAAGGAAATAAAAAAATAAACTATTTAGCCAACGGAGGCAATTATTGGGCGGTTTATAATTTTAATAAAAACTTTGCTTTCGAAGTAGGCGTAGTAATATAAAATTTATAATAAAATTAAAATAGAAGGCTACTTCTTTTAATTATAGTTTTAAAATTTCCTTCTCTCTCTATATTTTTATATTTATAATCCTAAAACCTTTAATAGGTATTTAAAATTTATTAATTTAAATCTAATCCTTTAAGGATGTTATTCGAAACGAAGAGAAATAATTAATTTCGTTAAAATTATAAATAGAAGCCCCGGAATCGAAGATCATAAAATTCTCAAGTAAATAAATATTATGTTTACCGCTACTCGTATTGAAAATACCTTATTTAATGAAAATATTTAATTATAAGTATTAATTTCTCGTCTCTTTCAATTTCTCGAAGTAATAGTTTACGTAAAGGTAATAAAACGGTCCTATATTTAATTCTTAGCCTTTTTAACCTTTTTACTAATTTTAAAATACTTTTCAAAATTTTTATTAATAAACTTTTAAATAGGGCCGCTTAATTTCTATTTAAAATTATCCCTAATTTTAAATATTAAATACTAGTAGCGCATTATTAAATAAAGGTTTCGTTCGTAAATTTTATAAAGCGGCGTAACGTTTCCTTTTATTTTCGGCCGTAAAAAATCTTTCACGTTTTTATCCGCGCCGCGTTTCTTCCTTACGTTTACCTTCCGTTTCGTTTTATAATTAGAATTAGGAGCGTCTTCTTTATTAGATATGAATTTTTATAAATTAAAGTAATTAATATTCCAAACACTACGGATTATAGCATTTTTAAGATTAATTAATAGTATAATATATTCTAATATATTAACCCTTTTAAAATTAGTAAATATATCTTTATATTTTAAAAATATTTCTTCGAATTTATTATCGAACTTTTAAAATTAATAATTCAAATAGGTTTATATTTATAAATTATATTAATAAAGTCGGTAAATTATAAAGTAAGGGAGGTTATTTTATTAATTCTAAATCTTTTTCTATTTAAGATAAGGATTTTTTAATCGGATAGCTACTTTTCGAAGTCTTTAGGTTATTTCTTTATAATTTCTTTAAAAATATAATAGTTTCGTTAAATTTTAGCGATTTAATCGATAAATCAATAATTAATCTAATTGTTATTTTCTCTAAATTAATTAACGGTAGATTTATTTTATTTACATAAAGTATTAATATAGTAAGTAGCAATATAAGTATTTATTTAATTATAAATTCGGGTATTAGTATCGTCGAAGTTTTTCTAATATTTATAGCGAGCGTTGTACGTATTATTAGTTTAATTGTACGTACTTTCCCGGTAGCTATTAGGTCGGTAGAGGGGTTAATAATTATATCCTCTTTAATATCCTACTTAATACAGTATTTATTATCCTCCTTTTCCTCTTTTTCGTTTTCTTCTCCTAAATTTCCTTCTTTATTATTTTCGTTAGCGCTAGCGGCGGCTTTTTCTTAGAGTTAAGTAGTAATAATAATTTCGGTAATAATACCGTTCGTATTAATAGTTATAGTAGTAATAGTTATTACGGTTATAATTACGGCCTTTTTAATTCGGATTCCTCTATTGAATTTAACGAACTCCTTCTTTACCGCTAGAAGACGGTCCTTTACTTACTTAGTAAGGAAGAAGTTTTCCGGTTTTAAGGGTAGAACCTTTTAAATTATAAATCTTCCCTTAAGTAACTAATTTCTAAAGTCCTAATTAGTATTAGCGAATTTCTTAAGAACTTTATATTAGCTAGTCCAATCGGTAGGGGTATTGAGGATAACCGTAATAGCCTTATCAGTAAATTCCTTTAATAAGGATATAGTTAACATTATTAGTTTCATAGAAATCTTACTTATAATTAATAATTGTAGTATTGAACGTAAATACGCAAATCAGACTATTAATTATCAAATGTAACGATATAGAATTAATTAATTAAAGAGTATCTATAATTGACTCGCCCGGAAGGTATGAGGGGTACTGGAGTAACCCAAATATGCCCAGAAATCAGGCAACATCAGGTGGCTAGAACGCTAACCTCCATATGGTATGGCTAAAACCACCCTTGAATCTGACAGATTGCAGTTTCTCCAGACTTCTAACGTCTTGAGGTGATCTCGCTGTTGCAAATCGGAAGGCATGGATATCAATGTCATGATTGTTTTCTTAGAAGAACGCATTGTCATGGCGCAGCGTCATGTATTCGTCCTTGTCACACCCTCTACGCTGATGCTGAGGCAAGGACGGCACCTTTTCCTGTGGTCAACTCAAGGCATCCGTTCGAGCGTTCTTTCTGTGGCTTAATCAGAGTCGCTTGTTCTCTCCAAAGACTGACACAGACACAGGCCCAGACATGCCGTCACGAATCTGCCGTGTGGCTTGGCTAGCGTAGACCCGACACTCTCACTCAGACACCGGGGTCGCTAGCTCACGGCGGTGAAACGTCCGACTGCAAAACACGATCGATCATGCTTTTCCTTCTTCAACTCAAGACCGAGGAGACCCAAGCGAGAAAAAGAAATGAGGACGGCAGATCGACGACAACTTCTTTAACCTCGGCCGAGTATTGCACCGAACTCTTCATTTTCTCTTCCCCGAGCCTTCTCACGGGTCCCGGTCCGCGATACGGTTCTGGAGGCCATCTCGCTCCGCATCCCCAACTTGGGAAGTTGGAACCACAAACAATATCTAGCCGTTTGCTTCTCCAGTCGTTCGCGATTCGTTAGTGTAGTCATGCGCAGACACACAGACGCAACCCATTCATTCATCATGTTATGTCACAATCCAATCGACTGCACTCCAACCAGTGGCATTACCGAGTCCCGGTCAATATTCCTACCTCAAAACGTGCGGACCCTCCGGCTAAAGCGGTCGAGTTGGGAGTTGGCGTTCTAGAAGCTGGGCAGCTGGGTGGTGGTCAGACCGGCAACTTTCCATCGCTACTCTGCCCTCGCTCGGGTATACGTAATAGCTTCACAGAACTCCAGCAAAAGGGAACCTTCCAAGGGTGTGACCAAGGGGCCAGGGACAAGGGGCTTGTCTAAATAAGGCATGGTTCTCCAGGTCTCCATGTGGGCGCCAAGCAATTGCGCTTTGACATACCAAACCAAACTCGGGAACGTCTCGCTCTGTAACGAAATTGCTTGATGCTTCCCCAGACGATGGTACGCCGGACACTGCTACCGTCAGCGTCGCACTGCAGGATTTCGCACATTGTCTGCATTTTCATCTATAACCGACTGTCTCCTCATACTTCGAATGCTTTCCCTGTCCCTTCCGAGATGTGGTTTTCCTTTATCCCTTTTCTTTCCTCTTTCTTTTGAACGGCTGGTGGTACAATACCCCGTTGATCCTGGATTTCGTGTTCTTGACAAGCCGCCCGTTACCCTGCCATGAATGGACACATCTAAGATTAGGTCAATCGTGAAATTGAGGAGGGGGTCACTTGCGATGCTTTGAGAAGAACAACCATTCGGTTTCTGCTTGTCACCTTTCAGCCCCTTGCGGACGGTAACTCAGCATTCACGCGGGAAGAGAGAAAGCTTCATCCCACCGACCCGTCAGTTCGGTTCCACGGGCCACCCGTTCGAGTCTCCACTTCCCCAGGTTCCAATTCGAAGGCGGGACGGTTCCATTCACTTGTGGTTGATGTACCTGCCCGTTGACCAGTCAACCACGTCTCAGGTCCAGCATTGACGATTTGGACGGACCTTGCATGCGGGCCTCTTGTCGTTCGACAGGTCGCAATCCCGACCCTCTCTCTGGCCATTGATGTACTTTATCGAACTGAACAATTCAACAACAGACCGGGCAATATCGCTTCACAACCACCGACAGGCACCGTCACGATGGCCATCACCGCGGCAGATACCGAGTCGGTCGTCATCATCGAGCGCGTCTGCTCCGCCCTGTCGCTTTTGGGTGGCCTCTTCGTCATCATCAGCTTCTCTGTTTCGGATGCTTTCCGACAGCGTGCTATCAACCGCATGGTTTTCTTTGCTACTTTCGGAAACATGCTCACCAACGTGGCTACACTGATGACCACGGCATTTACGGACGATATCAACTCGTTTGGATGTCAACTGCAGGGGTTTCTGGTTCAGGTGTGAGTATTTGGTCCATGGATTTCGAGATACCCCGCGGGAGGTGAGGGAAGAGGTTATCTGCTCTTCAATCATCCTTCCTTTTGTCTTCAACTGAAGAGAGAAAATTGCTAACTCCATTGGCTGCAATAACAGCTTCATGCAAGGTGATGCTTTCTGGGCTCTGGCAATGGCCATCAACGTGTATCTCACCTTCTACCATAAGTTCGACGGAAGAGCTCTCAGGAAGATGGAGATCCCATATTTCCTCTTCTGCTACGGCGTCCCGTTCATTACCGGATTCACCTTCATCTTCGTCAGGCAACACGGCGAGAGACCCTACGGCAACGCAATCCTCTGGTGCTGGCTGAGCAAAAAGTGGGAAGTCTACCGTATTGCCACCTTTTATGCGCCTGTCTGGTACGTTGAATCCCTTTTTTACCATTCAAGACCAAGTAATAGGAAAGCTAACATGCCCTCCCAAAGGCTTTGCATCACTCTAGCAACCACCATCTACATCCGCGCCGGCCGTGACATCTACAAGAAGCGCCAAATCATGAACAAGTTCGGCTCCAGCGGCTCCGAAGGCGGTACCCTCATCGACATGTTCGCTCCAGCCTACAACTACAAGACCACCAAAGTCACCCAAACGACCGAGATCATCTCCCCTCCGTCGACCGCCAACGGCTACGGCGCCAACAAAGACGTTCCATTCCCACATACCCCATTCCGCCCAGCCGACGACGCCAACCTCCCCGCTCAAACCTCCGTAACCGTCACCATTTCCGCCGGCAACAACAACAACAACAACAACAACAACAACAACAACAACAACAACAACAACTACTCATCAAACAAGCGCAGCTCTCAACCCCAGACCGAAATCACCACCGATCAATCCAACGGCGGCGGTATAACCGGCACAACAACCAACACCAACGAGCGAACCATCGTGCACATCTCAGCCGGCAACAACCCGGATCTCCCTCCCTCGGGAACAGCAGCCAACATGCAGACCCGAGCCCAGCGCCGCCTTGTTCACGAGGCGCACAACGCCGTCTGGTCTTACACCAAGTGCGCCATCCTCTTCTTTTCCGTGTTGCTCGTCACCTGGATCCCGTCCTCGGGCAACCGCGTGTACAGCATTATCAACCACGGAGAAATCTCCAAGCCTCTATTCTTCGCCAGCGCCTTCGTCTTGCCGCTGCAGGGGTTCTGGAACGCCGTCATCTACGTGGTCACGTCGTGGGCGGCGTGCAAGGAGTTGGGCGCCGAGGTGGCCGAGGTGTTTGATGTGGTGAAATACAGGTGTATGTGCTGCTGTGTGGGTAGGAGGAATAAGAAAGGAGGAAACGAGGATGAGGATGGAATCATTCTGGAAAGCAGGATGTCAGGAAGGAGAGGGGATCCCAATCGCAGGAGGTCGGGAGGTGGAGGGGGACCGGGAAGTAGTAGTAGTTGGGCGACGACCATGGCGAGGGCGAAGGCGCAGGAGATGGAGATTGATACGACTAGTATGGAGGATCTGACGGGCAATGGGGCGAGGATGGAGAGGGTGTCGCCTGTTTGAGGAGGGAAGAGAAGGGGGACAAAAAGTCGGTCGGTTGTGTGGTAAGTACTGTTGGGATATGGATCGATGGCCTTTGATGGACAATCCGGGAGGAAAGACAGTCGTGTACATCCTGTGCATATAGCGTTGGGAGTTTGGGTTCAAGTTGGGTTTGCGCTTTGCAGATTTTGTGCTTCTAGACTCAGAGCTCTTTCCGGCTGGGCGGTTATCCTTTGAGGTTTCTTTGCTGTTAGCGCGGGCGGACAACGTCTACTACCATGATACCCTGCATACGATCGTTTGAATGAGAAAGAAGTATCTTCAATAAACAGCAAGCGGCGATGAAAGGTACCTGATTGCCTGTTTCCACGATGTGAGAGGATATTTTGAAGTGAACCGTCCGTTAAGGAGCACGGCCGCCATGCACCATCGTCCGGTTCCGCCTCCGGAATTGCAAGACCGCGCTGGCACGTCCAACAAGCAATAAGCATCACAACCGCTGCAAGGACCGATCAAGCTTCAAAGAAGTTGGCGAATCTTTTGGCCAGCCTGAGTCCTCAGCGTCTCGAGGCCACTAACATGGCGTCAGCTGTAGGGAGTAGCGAGACTAAGGAAGGACAAGTCATTACGCATACCCTGCCAAAAACTACTGTCCTCCCTGACTCACTCGTGTGCCGCTCTTGGACAGACAGGGACAGTATTTTGTCGATCTGCTAGGGCGCAGCCCATACCGCGAAGGTGTGCGCTCACTGGGAAATCTGAAAAGAGGGAAAAAGAAAAGTAAGAGAGGAAAATACAAAAAAGGGGTAAAGTAACGAAAAAAAAAGTGTTCCACCCCCGGATTCGAACCGGCGGTTTCCTGATCCCTCACGGTTTCACCCGAGTAGCTGTTTAGAACGAGCATATAGACCAAGCGTGTTTACCAGTTACACCATCGGACCACGGACAAGGGTGCCAAGGACCTGACCTACATACCCGTTGGGACTGGGACTTGGAATGACAGTGGAAAACGCGAAGCAAAGGCAAGTGAATGTGCTTCGTCTTCCCATATCATACCGACCCCGTGCTCGTTGTTTTAGCTTGATATTCCGATTAGATTGTCCTCAGTTCCCATAAGTCGTAAGTAAGGGCCCCACCATCTCTGTGCAGGTTGGGTGGTGCACTTCGGGACAGAAGAGGTGATGATGTATGTGCAGGCCGTAGTTGGCAGGAATATAAAGGTAGGGATGTTCTGGATCAGTTTCTGTTAAATTGTGGGTTTGAGCGTGTAACCGTCCTCCTCGTCCAAGAATACTGGGGTGCATTGGGTACTTTCAGGTCACGCTTCATACCTTGCTCGTGGATATGGTAAGTGGCTGCTGTCAAGATGATTGTTTGGGCTAAATGGTGAGACGTCCACTTGGACTTTATGCATGTTCCTGGTCAAAGATTGATCCAGATCAGACACTAGCATCACCTTGGGCCTCCCTGAATGCTAAGTATCACGAAGGATGCATACCTGCCTGAACGTCCAGTGCCATGAAGGTGGAGAGCTCTTGTTGTTGATATTGTAGACGAGTAGGAGATTGACAGAACAACGCACAGAGGCCGATGATATGTATGTATATAGTCGAAGTTGGGCACATGTTTGTCTCGTTTTGGTCCGGTCCAGGGGGCGTTGCGTCCGGTTACGGGCCCCGGGTGACACAGTGACAAAACCCAAGGCACACCACGATGAGACTATGTGGCGCATCCACCATTCATGAAACACTTCCATTGACCAGGCGGGCGGGAGACCGACATTCTGGGGCAGGATGGCGGATCTCGTCGGCTGTCGTAGTAATTGGTGGGAGAGGTCGTACTTGACATTCGTGGCGTTCACGGAGCTAAGGCAAGTGAGGTTGGGCAATCACGGCAGTTGACGATGGCTTCGACTGGGACGAGGGTTCTGCTGCTGGTACGGCTCCGGTGTGTTTCTAATACGGATGACGATCGTCTGTATTTCCTAGACCAGCGAGCGTTTGGGCTCCAACAACTCTTTCTGCCCATCTAAGCCGCTCTTTGCGTTCGGTGGACAGAGAAAATGTTCAAGTTAGCCATCAGAAGCAGAACCACCCATCAGAAAGGAGGCTGAAGGATTGTACGTACTGGTAAAAGATACGTACCGGGAGCACGGGCATGGCGGACAGTGGCAGATGTGTGGATGGGCGTTCATCGCATTTCCGTTACCCATGTCGTTGCGGATGGATCAAAGATGACAAGGAATAGGATTCTGCCGGAGACCCACCCGGGGTTAAGTCCCGAAGTGACGGGGGAACAAGACCCACCCGGCCCGAGATCCGACACCAGGTGGGGCCAGATGCGGACTTGATCGACGCCCTGTGGGCCGGTCTAACCCCGGTCAGCCCCAGAGCTCCATCGACAGAGACAACGTCAACACAACACTTACCTACATGGTTAGATAGACGTTCAGGTGTCGTTCTTTGTTCTATCATCTTACAATGGTCAACTGTATCGAAAGAATAGAACTCCGAAGACGGATGACAAGTCAGAATCGTGAACAGGCTGTTTTGATGGCAGGGATGTTGGTCGAACCGATGGCTGGGACATAACCCAGACGTCTTGGAGTGGCCCATGGGCATAAAAGACAGTCTGATTGGGACGGAACTGGGCCGGTCAGCTGTAAAAGGCATACTGATGGACGTTTGGAAGCCCGAAAGTAATCCGAACCGGTTGATGGGTGTCCGATGCCGCTGTTGTCGGGCTTCCTGTAATGGAAAATGGAGTTTTGGAACGCGAGTGAAGCTGACTTGCCCACGGACTCTCGAACTACCGCAGGCCCGCAAATGAGAGGCCTGGATCTCGTACCGTACATTTGCAATCTCTTCGATTGGCGGACTGCGCTTCAGCATTATGGTCCCGTGATGTCACTGTCGACATGGAGTCTGAGAGACGTCAAGGATGAATCTCGAGATCATGGGGAGAACTTTGAAAGTTGACATCAATCGATAATGGTCGGGATGACGGCTCAGCTTCGTTAAATTTCACTCTTTGACAGGGAATGATGTTCAAATGACGAGCGAGAGTAGATAGCAAAACCCGGGAAGACGTTGTCCTGTCGTTCTTCCCTCCGAACTGTCTTACAGATTTTGCTGACACAGAATGTTCGGCCAAGCTTCCATCGCGCCTGCCACGGTTGGGCTGAAGCACAGCTGTACCTCCCAAAAGAACAGCGGCTGGCCAAGCCTGCAGGGGCAGTTTCTTCAAATCATATGACGTGCTTTTGTTTTTCCTGGTACAAACGGCAACGACGGGAATGGCGTTGGGAGGTTGTGGACGGGTTTTTCCCGGCCGCCTTACAACGCCCAAACCTCCTATGTGTTGGAAAAGAGAATTCATTTTGTGTTGACTTCCCACAAGTCTCCTCTTAGTCCATCCCTCTACTCATCATCGGAATTGCCTCAAGACAGAGGAGATACTGCAGTCCTCGATTCAAACTTGTGGGGGTGCTCTTCCCCTGACAGAAACGAAGTTGCCGGACGCGGGGCGGTGGAAGTGGAGTAAGACAAACAGGGGTCAAGTTCTAACTGGGGAAGGACCCACCCACCCACACACGGCCATGAACCGCTGCACTGCGGGGCACACCTGCCCTGTAAAAAACAACTGCAACGCAAAATCCGACAGCAACGTTTTTCATTTTGACATTCGGAAGTCACGAACCTCCAGTCTCAGGCATCACATGGAATCCCGAACCACATCGGCCATGACAGGAGCGAGGCATCAACTGATTCCTGGCTCGTCGAGCTCTGGATTTATAGGACAGCAGACATTCCCTCATTGTCGAAAACCATGTCCCTTCTCGTCATTCTGCCAGTGTATAGGGGCATCCCCATTTCTTGTTCCGTCCTCATTGTTGTGAACGGCTCGTTGAGGCACAGCAACATCAACCCCGGGAACCCCGTTGGAAACACTTTGGAAGCAGGTTCAAGTTCTCGGCATCGAGGCCAAGCGGCCCAAACCATGATCGAGGTACTGCGCAATGCCACACACATCCCGCCCAAGTGGGAGTCTGGAAGATGTCAACACAAGGCGGTGAGCTCGTTTATGCAACTCTTTTATTCTCCCGGATGACGCCCCTGCAAAACCACGTCAAGATGCCTGTTTTCCTTTTGGCGAATACCCAAGTTGAATCGGTCAGCTGACGGCCAAAAAGGTGTTCCGATTTGGGATCCATTCTCTGTGTCGAGGTTGGGCGCGGATACTGTTTCCGTTGTCATGGACCTCGATGGAAGATCTCAACGGTCAGTGGATATCCCCCTGGTTGTTGACCATGCTACTGTAGTTCCTTGGCCTGGGGTACCATGCTAGATGCCACTCCTGGGGGCTCTGTTGTTGAACCCTTGACGACATCCCATCACCCTTGGCTTCAAAAGTCACAAAAGCCGCCCGAGATCCCTTCAAATTTGCACTTGTATCCCCTTCCACTGTAATCCTCTCTTGTTTATCATTGATCCCTCAGGGACATCTCAGAACAAATTGTCCCAAAACCTGGCCATACCACCTCACTTCTTCTCCCTCTCACCTTCCCACCTTCATCACATACAACCAAGATGACCAGGAAAATACAAACTCTGATCCGCCCGACTCATGGCGGCGAGCGCTATGAACTCACCAACCCCACAGCCATGCCCAAGGCCGCGGGCTTTCTATGGAACCAAAAGATGATGATTCAGATCACCTGCCGTGGTTTTGCAACTGCCCAGTTCATGCAGCCCGAGCCCGCAAAGTACGCCTACGCCCCCAATATCGAGGCCAAGACCTTCATGCAACCAGAGCCAAACTACTACGCCCACCATCCCGGCCGTTTTGTCTACATCAAGGACGAGGAGACCGGTCAGCTCTTCTCCGCTCCCTACGAACCTGTCCGGGCCCCGCAGGACCGCTTCGTTTTCTCTGCCGGCAAGACTGATGTTTCGTGGGTCGTTGAGTCGATGGGAGTTCGTGTCGAAATGACCATGGGCCTTCCCACTCACGATGTTGCGGAACTCTGGACCATTAAAGTCAAGAACCTTTCAAGCCGTCCTCGGAAACTCAGTGTGACCCCCTACTTCCCCATTGGATACATGTCGTGGATGAACCAGTCGGCCGAGTGGAACAACGACCTCAACGGAATCGTTGCCAGCTGCGTCACTCCCTATCAAAAGGCAGCGGACTACTTCAAGAACAAGTATCTCAAGGACAAGACCTACTTCCTTTGTGAGATCCCTCCCGATTCATGGGAGGCTAGTCAGCAAGCCTTCGAAGGCGAGGGTGGCCTTCACAACCCCAGCGCCCTGCAAGACAGGAATCTCAGCGGCAGCGATGCGCGGTACGAGACTCCCACGGCAGCTGTGCAGTACAGGATCGCACTTGACACGGACGAGCAACAAGAGTACCGGTTCCTCTTTGGCCCCGCTTACGATGAGGCTGAGATCGGAGCCATGCGATCCAAGTACCTGAGCAAAGAGGGTTTCGAGCAAACCGCGGCTGACTATGCCGCATACATGGCTCGTGGCCGTGGGTGTCTCCGCGTGGAAACCCCGGATAAGGATCTCGACAACTTCATCAACAACTGGCTGCCCCGACAAGTCTACTATCACGGCGATGTAAACCGCTTGACCACTGATCCTCAGACGCGCAACTACCTACAAGACAACATGGGCATGAACTACATCAAGCCCGAGGTCTCCCGCAGGGCCTTCCTCACTGCTATCGCCCAGCAAGAAGCTACCGGCGCCATGCCCGACGGTATCCTTTTGGTCGAGGGCGCCGAGCTCAAATACATCAACCAGGTACCTCACACTGACCACTGTGTATGGTTGCCAGTCACCCTGGAGGCGTACCTCAACGAAACTGGCGATTACAGCTTGCTGAAGGAGAGTGTACGAAGTGCCAATGGAGATGAGTTTACTGTCTTTGAACGCTTCTGCCGTGCTATGGACTGGCTGCTCAAGTCTCGTGACCATCGTGGCCTGAGCTACATTGCTCAGGGTGACTGGTGTGATCCCATGAACATGGTGGGCTACAGGGGGAAGGGTGTTTCCGGCTGGCTCACTCTGGCGACAGCCTTTTCTCTTAATATTTGGGCAAAGGTTTGCGACCATGAAGGCGAAGTCGATCTTGCCAATCGCTTCCGTGAGGGTGCTGACGCATGCAATGCTGCTGCTAACGAGCATCTTTGGGACGGTGAATGGTTCGCCCGCGGCATTACCGACGACAATGTTGTCTTTGGCATCAAGGAGGACAAGGAAGGCCGCATCTGGTTGAACCCACAGTCCTGGTCCATCCTCAGTGGTGCTGCGAGCCCTGAACAGATTGACAAGATGTTGCCCCACATCGACTCACATCTCAACACGCCGTATGGTATTCAGATGTTTGGCCCCCCTTACACCAAGATGCGCGAGGATGTTGGCCGCGTAACGCAAAAGGCCATTGGCTCGGCTGAGAACGCTGCTGTTTACAACCACGCTGGCATCTTCTTCATTCACAGTCTGTACGAGCTTGGAGCGCAACAAGACAGAGCCTTCACCCTCTTACGACAAATGCTCCCTGGTCCTACCGACGCCGACTATATCCAACGAGGCCAGCTGCCCATCTACATTCCCAACTATTACCGTGGCGCCTGGAAGGAGTTCCCACGCACAGCTGGCCGGTCCAGTCAGTTGTTCAATACCGGTACCATTTCTTGGGTTTACCGCTGCATCATCGAAGGGCTCTGTGGTTTGCGCGGCGATAGTGAAGGTCTGCTCATCCGGCCACAGTTACCGAGCTCTTGGAACAACATGAAGGTCACTCGCGAGTTCCGGGGCGCCACATTCAATGTCAACATTCGTCGTGGCAATGTCAAGAAGGTCACTGTCAAGAATGGCGACAAGGTCCTTCCCGAGCCTCATATCAAGGACATCAAGCCAGGCCAGACGTACAACCTCACAGTGGTCATTCCGTAAGTAGACACTGGCTTGTGGTCTACAGTCGTCCGAAATCTTGTGCTGATGCGACGTTGGAAAAGAAAACCAAAGGACAAGAAGGGATCGCGGTTGAAGATCAGTTGGCGTAGCATTTTAGGTGGCTGTTTGTTTCCATGTCTGCATAAGCTGCCTTGGGGCTCTAGAAAATGATCCGTGAGGATACTCATTCGGGGAAGGAAAATGGTTCTAGGCACCAGCTTTAATGAGGTGATGGTGTTGTTGCTTACTGTTTGTAGCCATCCCTATAGCAACGGTGATGGCCATTGATCCTACTCCTTTACCTTACCTGGTTGTCAAAGCGAGCTTGCGTAACATCGCTGTCGATAGTGTTCAATGTGGGCGTTGAGATTACTCAGCCCAATATTGGACCCAAGATCCCACCCGAGTGCCAGCTTCACCGCGGCTATGTCAAGCTTACTCATCACACTTTGATGAACATGTATAAACAGAGGAGGCAAGCTCATGGTAACAGGTTGAGAGCACTTCGACATCAAGACCTCACTTGCAGTTTGCATCCTAGCATCAGTTGACGAAACAAGATGAAGACTTCTCTCCAGGCTTTGGCATTGCCACTAGCCTTTAACTTGCTCTCCCTCGTCCACGCCATACCCGGTGGTCCCTGGAAGGCCTGGAAGGGTTGCTGCGTCCCTCATGACGATTCCCCCCCAGCCACCAACACCACCGAGGATGCCACCACGATCATCCCCCGTCAATCCTCCTGCCTTTCAACCGGCACCCAATCCACCATCAACGCTCTCTTCTCCTCCGGCGGCGCCAACACCATCGTCCGTCTCTGTCCCGGCGTAACCATCCCCATCACCGCCCCCATCGTCTTCACTGCTCCGGGGCAGGAACTCTCCACCCAGGGTTACCCGACCGATTCCACCCGGGCCACCATCCTTATCCAGCCTGGCAGCACCGTCACCTCAGCTATCCGCGGCAACTGGCAGAACAACGTCAAGGTGCTCAACATCCAGGTAGACGGCAACCGGCCCAACGCCGGGTATCTGGGCGGCGATGCCTTGCTGGAGATGGGCGGTGGCACGGAGGGCCAGACGGTCAGTCACACGGTGGTCAAGAACACGCGCAGCTGGAGCTGCGTGCATTTCATCGGCAGCGGACAGGAGAACAATCCGTGCCGGCAGGCGACGGTGATGTTTAACGAGGTTGGGCCGTGTGGGCATGAAGGGACGGATCCGGCGACGGGAAATGGACTGTGGGCGGATGGATTGAGTATTGAGTGTATCGATACGACGGTGACTGATAATACTGTAAGTTTCTCTACCTGTCCGGGTCCTGTGTGTACGGGGGACGGCCCCAGCTGACAAAGGAACAGATCACAGGCGCCACAGACGGCGGCATAGTAATCTTCGGCTCCCCCGGCTCCCACATCCTCTGCAACACCATCGTCTCCACCTCCTCCTCCGGCCTGCAATTCGGTGGTATCAACATGGTCGACCCGACCTGGGGCGGTAACTACACCGGCGTGGTCGTCTCCTCCAACACCATCACCGGCGGACCAAACAGCTTCATCAACTTGGGAATCGGCATGGGTTCACAAGTCTGGTCGAACCCGCACCCGGAAACCAATTTCGGACAAGTAACCGTGATCAACAACGTGTTTACAGGCAACATCGGCTTCTCCATCGTCATGAACGGCTGGCTGGGTGGTCTCACGGTCACGGGTAACTCGGTAAGCGGGGTGACGACCCCTTCTTCCTCTTTCGCTTCGGCTGCGGGTTGTGGAGCGGTGCAGCAAGCGAGTTTCGCGGCTTCGGAGCAGTTGGTGTACTACCCGGCCGGCGTGACGGGGTCGTCGGGGCCGAATACTATTCAGTCGCAGTTTACTGCGCTGGCGACGAATGCGTCCAACTGGCTTTGCTTGACGAATCCGCCGCCGCTGCTGCCGGATACGAAATCCTTTTTGCCCAACACCTTGTCTGTTGATGCGTCTACTTCACGGGTCGTTTCGCTCAGGGACTTCCATGTGCAAGTGCAGGGCGATGGGAACGTGGTTGGGATTGACACGACCGGGGGTAGGGCAGCTGTTGACGTTCTCAAGGGAGGCGCCGTGGGTGACTGTTACTGGGAGCAATGGGCAGACGTTGTGGACTATTGGGAATTTGTAGGGGCGAGGGGGGGTCATGTCGTGAAGGGTGAGGTGAAATTTCTCGCTATATGTTGCGAGCGCCATACAACACTACCAGTTTCCTGTATTGAAGCCAGATTGCAGGGCTTTCTCCCTCTTCTTCTCTTCAGCCTTCCAATCAATCAAAATACCACATGTCGGTTGGTTCCCCTTGCTTTCCTTTTACTATCTAACCAGTTGCTATTTGGACTATACATGAATACCTGATATTCTGCCGTTAGACCTGTTGTCTAGACGGGCAAGAGATCATCCAAACATGTTAATCCATCTGCACCTTCCAAAGCCCCAAAGCACCTTATATTCCTATGTAGCAACCTCTAAACGGCTCATAGATTATTAAGGTCAATGCCTTTTGCCTTAGCTTCCTCGACGGTCCTATTGTAGCGCGCTTGAGCACGATCGTAGTACTCCGATACCTTCTCTTCAGGAAGATATGGGTTGGCAGCATCCCTCGCTTCATCAGCGTCCATCCCTTCAAAAACGCCCGAGAATTGAGGATCGTCCATCGATTCAACAGCGTCCGTCACCTTGATAGACTGGCCATCCCCACGGTATTGTTCATGGCCTCCACCAAACTTTCGGACTCCCCAATAGTACAGATGTGCCGTGATGTGGCAGATGTTGAAGGTGTTGTGCCCTTTGCACTGGAACTTCATACTAGGACACGTCACATATTAGCCTTGCTCAACGCCATTGAAAAGGTGGTAGCGGTCAATAAAACATACTCTTTATGAAAGTTCTGGTCAATTTTTTGCCTAGCATGCGGGGTAAAATGAAATTGGACTTGGTAGTTCCGATATCCAAAGTCATGGCGCTGGCAAGCCGGCTTAAACGGGAAGCCGAGCGGTTTGTCCGGCACTTTGGTACACCCGTCCGATGACCAGTCCCACCTCAGCCTTCCGAGGCTGAAGCTCGCCTCGCGGTGCCGAATAAACGTGGGGAGGTCCCACTGGAATAGCATCCCCGCGGTGTACTTGCACCATTGGAGGCCATAGCCGGTGTTTGGTGGGTTGCCCTTGACCTTGGCACATTTGGAGTCAAGTTCCCCCCGGTTCTTGAGTGGGAGGCCCGGGAGGGCGGTGGTGGCCAACATGAAACTCATGAAAGCCGTGACCAGCAGCGAGAGGAGGGAGGAGAGCTTCATGGTGTCTGATTGGGGAGCGCCTCTGGCCCAATGGGACGGATCGATGGGAGAGGAAGAGGTTGAGAGATGGAGAGGACAAGGAGCTCTGGAAGTGATGGGGACAAGAGGGTAAAAGAATTGTGGTGAACTTGTTGATTGAAGAAGAAGAAGGGAGAGGACGAGAGAGAGGGAAGAGGAGATATATATACAGGTGAGACGCGAGTAAGAATCCATGTGTGGATCGAAATGCATCTTGTTCCACACGGAAGTCGGCCTTGGTTATCAATCTCGCAGTAAGCAAATGCAATGCGGAGGACTGATGGGGGGCGTTATCGCCGCCTTCATACAAGAAAAAGCTGCATGCGAAGGGACCGACATGTCGGGGATCAAGGACTTCTGGAGAAAGCCTTGGTAGGTGCATGACCTAACCTCCGGCCTGGGGGACAGTGAGTGAGCTGTACCGTAAAAGAATTTGAAACTGGGAATGGCTCAGATGTTCAAGCCAGGCGCTTTGCAGATATCACGGCTGCATAAAAAAGCTTTTTGGCTCATCATGGAATGAGTGGAGTAATCTTGATGTAGGAGTGTCACTGCCATCTCGTCATGGTCGCCGATGCCTACCACTTGAGACATATGCTCTTGCTAATTGGAAAACCAAGAACAGCTTGAGGAAACCTAGCCATCATGCAGCGGGTGCACTTACGAAAAGTTCCAAGATTGTTCTTGCCCAAGAATCTTGACATCTGCAACAGCACCTTGTGTGAAGCAGGCTCGGCCGGCGTCCTACGTGTTCACTCACCGATAACGCATCCAAAATGACGTTCTGCTGTCAACCAGCCAGGTCAAAGAGACCTTTGGGCTTTTTAGTAGGACAACAAACTTGCCTTTGCGTTTGTTTCCTTGATTGACGTCTTCAACGCTTCAGTGTCTGCCATATTACCTTGCTGGTATCGGACGATGATTATCACTGGTTATCTTCCGTATCATGGCCCTCCCCTCTTCATTCGGCTGTGTTCTTTCTTAATTTGGCTGTTGAGGCTCTTCGAGCTTTCCCCATCAGTTCCAACCTCAGTGTGATTCTGCGGTTGCCACATCTCTTATCTCTTCGCCCACTAGACCCCTTCATTCATCTTTCTTTTCCTGGGCCACGGTTGCCTTCCCTCACCACAAACCCGCCACATCTGCCCCTTCGTCACATCATCGCTCTTATCAATTCTGTCTTAGCTACCAGTTCGAGGGGCTACGTCAGAGCCATGGTCACCATGGACAAGTTACCTGCGGAGGTGATCCTTGCGATCCACACTCACCAAGACTTAGCCGACCTATGCTCGCTAGTCCGCGTGTGTCGCCGACTCTATCAAACCCTCAACTTGGAGCTTTACAAGCGCGACGTCAAGACGGGTTCACCACAGTCTCTCTTTTGGGCCGCCATGTTCGGTCTTCTGGGTACCCTGAAAATGTCCCACGCTGCCGGTGCTAATCTCGAGCAAGCCTGGGCATCTGACATGTTCATCTTTCCTAGCATCAGCCACTGCACAATTGCCGGATCGACCAGAACTTTCGAGTTCGAGACGAGCTTGAAGAAGCACTATAACAAATTCTTCAAGCATTCCCCAGAAACATATAGCTACCTCTTTAACGGAGAAAAACTGAGCCCAGCGTGGGAACAACGCCTTCCTACCTTCTACGATTCCTTCTACGACTTCAATGACGACCACCCGTCCGCACCCAAGACAGCATCCAAAGATTGCTTAACGCCTTATGCCAACAACTTCCTGGATCGCCCTAACTTTATCCAAGCCTGCAGGGGGAAACGCTGGCCTAAATATTGGTGGCACGCGCTTGACTTGGCTGTGCTATTCCGCCACTTCGACGTGATCCGGTATCTACTCAAGAACGGCGTCAACATTGCCAAGTCGCACTCACGTGGTCTCTGCAGTCGTTTGTGCGCATGCGCTGGATCGGATTTCGAAATCCTCTCCCCCAAACGCGTACATAACCCGCTTACCTTGGCAGCCTGCGAGAGTGACCTTGCAATCCAGAAGATCCTGCTGGAAAATCTGGGCTTGAGGGATATGGCTAGAGCCTTGACCTGGGAAGAAGTTCAACGTCATGAATACCGAGCGGACATGTTCAAGAAAGGCTCGCAGGAGGAGAAAGATTTTGTCGACGTTCACGACATGGATCGCCGAGGTACGTGCTCCGCTGTATAAGTAGCTGTGTCATTTGTCATGTTCTTCCGCTAACGCATCAGCAGCATTAACTCGGTAGGGAATCGTCGGGTTGAACATGACACAAAGGTTGCCCGTCACCTTCCCTTATGCAACGTACCGCCCTCTCATGGGATTATCAGGACCTCGCGCTTGCGGGCAATCTCTCCCGGGACACCCAAGTACACCACGTACCCCCTTCGACCCTGTCTCCAGTGGTTTTGTGATGTTTCAATCGACCGCTCAGCAGTACTAAGAAGCAGGCTACAGGGCGGTTTGTACAGGAGCACGGAGAGATCTCACGTACGAGCAACAGTTCCCCCGAACACAGCGATCATACAAGAGGCACGCGATGAGTGGTTGCACGTGTCATGCTGAAGTCCTGGCTTGGTATACACATATCATTACGCCAATAGTTACAAGAACCAAGTCGTAAACGTACAATCCGTCTCCCATATCCCATTGTTTCTCATATTTTCATCGAGAATCATCAAATCGTGTAACCCATCAATATCCAAATTGTATCCATATCCCTTCTGTCCGGTCATTTCTTCCTTGCATCCCAAACATCATTATCCAAGTCGCTTTCCCTGTGCTAACGTCTTTCACGGTAGCTTCAAGCTTCAAGATCACCCATCCGCCACCACACCACCCCCCACCCACGCTTTTACCTCGTCTCCCTCTCGCTTGTATACCTATAAACCCTCGGCGCCTCCCTCATCTCATTCTCGCTTGCCCCTACACTCCTCCCCCGAGACTCATGCCTCGACGCGCTCCTGTGCCTCGAATGATGCCTCGACGTATGACGATAGTGATGCACGTGCTTGGAACCAGACCTGTGCTTTGAATGGCGCCTCTTCTCCTTCCTGCAAGCGCCCGCAACCGCCCCGCATCCACACGAGCACAAGCTGGCACTGCTCACACTACTTTCCGTCTCGCTCATGCCGCCGCCTCTCATTCCCGCAGCAGCCGCGCTGCTCCCATAGACACGTTCCGTCCTCCTCGTCTGGCGCGAGATATAAGCAGCACCACCACCGCCGCCACCACCAGAGCCGGACGAGCCGGACGAGAGAACCTCCTCATGGTAGTAATGATCATCACGACGCTTCTTCTTGCCGCCGCCGCCAAGCCACCAGAAGAGAAGGAACAAGAGGATGAGGAAGACGATGACACCGATGACGATGCCGGCGATGGCGCCGCCCGACAGGCCGCCGGTGTGATCGGAGGTCGCGCCGGTTAGCGGGATGACGGTGGCGGTTGAGGCTGCAGAGGAGACCACGGAGGAAGTAGGGAAGACGGTAACGGTATCGGTCACGGCAGGTCCTTGGGTGTAGATTACCGTGGGATGCTGGGCCGAGGCATACACGGAGCCGTAGTTGGGCGCGGGCGCAACGGAGTCATAGTTTTGACGGTCTTCGAGAACGGCGGCGGCGGTTGGGGCAGCTGTAGGTGCGGGGGCTACTGGCGACGGGGCTGGGGCGAGCTGCCGGAGGTGGGAGAGGAGTTCGGCGGTGTCTAGGTGGGGAACCCGGAGGTTCAATGGAAAGGGGGCCATTGTGTGATGTCTTTGTTTCCGGTCTTGTGGGACCCTTTGTTCTTTTTCTTCGGCGGAGGTTGCGCGGGTACCCGTTGTTGAGGGTCTCAACACGCCCGTTCAAAGTTCTGGTTCGGGAGGGTTCGATAGCGAACGTGGCTTGGAGGTGTAGCGAGTGGCTGGTGTTGCTTTCTTTGAGTTAGCCGCCGGGAATGCGCGCGCCCTGCTGAACCAGGAGATCCTCAAAGCTCCACTAGCAACTGCGCTCACAAAAATCGCAGGTTGCAACTTTTCTGGTGTTTGGTAGAGAGAATTCACACAAGAGAAAAAGTTCAAAAAAATGTCCTGCAGATGCAAGGAGGGCCTTTCTATCCCTTTCTCATCCCACCAAGCCCGGTCAGGTACGTCAGGTAGGCAGGCACCCGCCAGCCATGCCAGCCATGCCGGGGCCCAGGAACCAAGTTGCTCGTGTTTTGCATTGGTTGCATTCGGTCCTCACCTTCGAGGCAGGCTCTGCCGCTCTGGAGGCTGGACCTTTCAGCGCTCCTCGGGCGTTCTCCCCCTTCGGCCTTCTTCGTAAACGGTGGTTGGGGATGACATCATTGAGGTTAGTGGACGGGAATCGTCGAATCGGATGTCGTGAATGGCCCCGGTGCCAAGTTTTGGCGCCCTTGTTGATAGCGGGCCGTTACAACGGGGATCGAATCATTTTGGGCGGTTGGCTGACCCACTATGGACCTCCTCCAGCCATCTGCTTTTTTGTCGACGACAGAGCCACAACACCATGTGCCGTGCGTGCTTCGGTCCGGGAGCGAGCGAGACGAGACGCAAAAGGGTTCTATATAAAGTACCTACATGATGAAGATTAGCACAGGGGGATAATGGCCTGGCGAGAAAAGGATTTTCGGCACGTACATACCTGGAAAAGTGTAAAAGTTATCGATGGTGATGCCGGTCATGGTGTCAAGGACAACCCCTCGCGAGACCCTGCCAAGCCGACAGCGCAGGAAAACAGGGCATCTACAACACGTGGAGGGCATGTCCAAACATGCTTGGTATCAAGCACAACATCTCGCATTGGATTCTGGGAGCCGGCCATGATCAGTAGGTATGTACATATGTGCTAAAGAATCCCGGAGCGTCAAGGGTCATGGGAGGTTTGATACTGCACCTGGAAGTAGTCACACAGCATGCGGGACAGTTTCTCAAAGTCGACGACGACTCAAGGGACACGACACACAAAGCCACAAAAACCGAAAATTCGGCTTCTCGTCACTACCACGGCTCCACGGCTGTTGAAAGAAGGGTTTGGCATAATGAGTTGACATTACAAGGAAATCTTTGAGTTGTTTAAATGACAGTGGGGGATGGTCTTCAAACGAAGCGAGACCATTCAAAATGCTGTAGATAGCAGGTAATTCTTCTCCTTCTTCTCCCTTGTTGGACCTTGAAGGCCCAAGTTCTGCCCAGCAGTCCCAGCTACAAGGCGCCTCCTCCTTTTTAAAAAAACGAGTGTCCTTCGATCCCTAGGTCATCTACCGTTAGCACACCACTCCAGAACATCAAACTCCGGCTCAGGGCAAGGCGACTCACCTAAGGATAAACAATACTCTGCCCACCATAGACTACACCATCCTCAGCAAAGTCGTTATTAACATCCTCCACGATGCTGGTAGTGCCAAGCGGCATATACGCGACCGCCGGTTGCTCAACATACTCGACATCCTGCTGAACGAACTCGGCATTACCGCCTTCGCAGCCGCATTCATCACATTCGCAATCCGCGACGTTATTGTTGACAACCATAGGGGGCATAGGCTTGGGAGGAGGGGGCGGGACGTTGTTCATAACAGTAGGTGGGAGGTTAGGTTCCGGGTTAGGAACAAGATTATTCATAATGGTAGGAGGAGCCTGAGGAGGAGGAGCCATTATATCGTTGACGACCACGGGAGGCGGGCTCGGCATGGGAGCGGGGATCTCGTTGTAGATGACGGGAGCTGGGCTGGGCGGGGGCATAGGCGGCATGTTGTTGACGTAGACGGGGATGTCCTTGATGCTGTTCTCGTAGCATTCGTCGCAGGGGGGGTCGCCGACACTGTTCACGCGGTTGAAGCCCATGCCGTAGGGGAACGCGTTGAATTGGTTGAAGCCCATGCCGTAGCCGTAGGGGTAGGCAGCGAAGTTGTTGAAGGCGCGGTTGAAGCCCATGCCGTAGCCGTAGGGACCGATGGCAGCGCGCCCGAAACCGCCGATGGCAGCGCGCCCAAAACCGCCGATGGCGGCGCGCCCAAAACCACCGAAGCCACCGCCCATCATTGGAGCGGCTGAGATGAGGCTGATGAAGAGGGTTAGGAGGGAGAGGATGCTAGTAGTGAGAGTGAACGTCATTTTGGCGTTGTGGTTTCCAGCGAGGCGCTGGTAAATGTGAATGTAGGTTCCTTTGGAAGTAGTGATTGTTGATGGTAACGATACTGTTTTGATGCCGATGTAGCTTGTGGTTTGTGTGTCTTTCTGTTAAGACAAAGTGAGTGTTGTGGTTGTTGGATAAAGGACTGTGAGAGTTGCGACGTTGGTTCGAGATTGACAAAAAGAATGGCTTTCGTGGGTTTGGAAGGAAACAAGACAAAGTCCAACAGGATGCAGGCCTTGTTATTTACGTTCAGCTCAGACTGTGAACAACTCCCACAACGCTCCAGATGTCACCCTGACAACCATCAGATGGTTTGCTTCATGACGTGCGCCTTCATGGTGTTGTAACAGTCTTTGTATGGTCGACCCTGTTACCAGCTTCGTGTTCAGTTGCAGGTTGCTGAGGCGTTTCGCAGATGCCTTACGCTTGAACACCGCCCGAACACTAGAGACGAACCGGTGGGTCATGGTTCCTCGCTGGTCGTGGAGAGTTCAGTCGCGTGGCCCAGAACATCTATCCCAGAAGAAGCTGCCTGAGGGCCCTTCGCCGCCAGCATCATTGGTCTGGGGAATATCGTATCCAGTGCCATCACGTAAGAAGGGCGTCGTCACGTCGGTACAATGCTCCGTGTCCCTACACGAGACTGCGGTATCTGATTGCTGACATGACGTCCTGTTGACATCAGGATCCGCTTCGCTGGCGACCAAAGCGCAGGCGTTTCGCACATCACCTGAACAACGTCCAAGGTCAAAGCTGAGAGGCACTTTAATATGGGCAAGGGTGGCTCCAAGTCCCGGTCGTGTTCTCCGTCCTCGACTACCACCGGATGGCATAAAATCAGCGAAACGAACGTGCTCTTAGACAGTACCAACTTCCACCAAACATCACAGCCATCAACCAGCCGAAAAATTTGTTCATATCCATCGGTGTTCCAACTGAGCTGAAGCCCTCATCAACCTGACTTAAACATCCAGCAAAAGCCCAGCAAAAGCCCAGCAAAAGCCCAGCAAAAGCCCAGCAAACGCCAAGATGGTCTTCACCTTCCCCTCCGATTTCGCTTCCCAGGACCCAAACTTCACCACCCTCTTCCGGCTCCTCGATGACTTCGACGCTTACAACCGCGAAGCCTCAGGCGAGGAGTCTCATCCCCGTCGCATCCAACACGGCGGCGGCGGCCGTTGGGGTCGTAAGGGTCGGGGTCTCAATCCGCGCTTCGACATTCGCGAGACCAAAAATGCCTACGAGCTGTACGGCGAGGTACCCGGTGCTGACAGGGAGGATATCCATATCGAGCTGACGGAGCCGAACACGCTTTTGATCTATGGGCGAGTTCACCGGGACTATGAGGAGGAAGAAGGTGGCAAGAAGGAGGATAAGGGAAAGGAGAAGGCCGAAGGCGAAGGCAGCACCGAGACGGGAGGGAAGAAGGGTGGGAAGCCGAAAGAGGACGCGCCGGTTCGTTTCTTCTTGCGGGAACGTCAGGTTGGGGATTTTGCGCGCGAGTTTTCTTTCCCAGGGCCATTGGCGGAGCTTGATATTGACGCGTCGCTCGAGAAGGGCATACTTAAAGTCGTGGCGCCGAAGCAGCTGCCGTCCAAGGGGAAAAAGATTGAGATCAAGTGATGGAAGTGGGATATGGATATTAGTTTGCTTTCCCAGGGCCATTGCAGGAGTTTGATATTGAGGCCACACTCGAGAATGACATAGTGAAAGTCGTGGCGCCAAAGCAGCAGCCGGCTAAGGGGAGAAAGATTGGCATCAAGTGCTGCAGTGGGATATAAATATTAGTTCTTGGATACCAAAGCATAATCAACCCTTTGGACCCCGTCAAGGGGCCGTAACTTCAAGTACATCCCATTGTTTGGCTTGATTGTGATGACGCCATCAGGCATGATGTCTTTTTCGTCCATCCCAAGCTCCCACTCAAAGGCGAGAACGAATGCGGCAAGCAAGCATCGAAGCTCAGCCTTTGCGAATCCTTGACCAATGCAGCTTCTTGGACCATGGAGGAATGTCATCTGGGCATAGTTGCTCGTTACTCCGCCGGTGTTGTTAGGCTTTAGCGTCAGTTGGTCCAACCATTCCTCTCCGATGTGCGTGCCCTCTTGATCGATCCATCTTTCCGGTACAAACTCTGTTGATGCGCTACCCCAATTGTCGGAATATCGATTGATAATCCAAGGCGACATCATGATCTCTGTGCCCTTCTTTATCGGATGGCCTAATACGGTCGTGTCGCAGACCGCTGTGCGGACAGTCATAGGCACCGTGGGGTAGAGACGGAGGGTCTCGTTCATGACACCATTGAGATATGGGAGATGTTCGAGGATACTGGCAATGTCCTGACCAGGCGCAAAGTTGGGAAAGTCGGGCAAGGCTCGTCGAAGTTCGGATCGAAGAGTGGATTGCATTTCGCGGTCCTGAGCGAGTTTATAGGTAGCCCAGGTAAAGGCGGAAGAAGTCGTTTCGTGGCTGTAATTTGTCAGTGGAAAGCCATGCGTGGAAACTATTGAAGCGACTCACCCAGCTGCCAGGAAGGTTAGAAGCTGATCGACCAACTCGGCCTCGGAAAAGTTGTTGCTCTTGATAAGCAGGGACAGGATATCGAATTGGTCGTCTCCAAGCTTCTCAATCGTTGCTTTCTTTTCGCGAACAAGTTGGGCACATATCCTCCTGATGTCGGTTGTCGTCCGGTTGAATCTCCTAGAAACTTCCCATGGGAACAGGTCGACAAACTTTCGAGAGAATATCAGGGTCAGGAAGAAGTAGGCGAACTTTGCTGGCCCTGGCTCTAGCAGGTCGGCATAATTCTTGACCAGAGGGTGATCGGGCCTTTCGAGTACGTGAAAGTCACGACCAAAGGCAGCAATGCCAATAATGTCCAGGGTGACTTTGCCCGCCCAGGCATTGATCTCGATCCTCGTGTCATTGCCCTTCCTCTCTAGTACCCTGAGCTCCTCCTTCAAAATATTGTTCAACTCGATTGCCTTGCTCCACATTGTTGGGTAGAGCTCTTTGATATGACCAAACTTGAATGCCGGCTGGGTATTCTTGCGGAGGAATCTGTGTTGCTCGCCTTCGACAACAACCAGGCCATCGCCTAGAATTGGACGCAGAAAATTCCGAATCGCGTCGTACTTGGCGAAGTCGTACGGGTGATGGACGAGTATGTCCGCAAGTGGTGCGGGCTTGGTGATCAGCATGGAAGTGCCAAATTCCCCTTGTAGAACGATGATGCCATCGTTGGGAGTACGCTCTACGAGTTCGAGGAGTAATTGGCCAGGCGGAGCATTTCCCCGAAAGCGAGCCAATACTCTCCAGAGGCTGACGACCTTTGGCGCTGGAAACTTTGAAAGAGGGTGGAAGTAGACGGGGTATAGATACAGCTTCCAGGCGAGAAAGAAGACATAGTTTACTGCCAGGATCGCCAGGACAAGCGAGGTGGTAGAGAGGGGGAGCACATGGCGGTAACTGGTTTTGTTGACGATAAGCACCTCGACGAGCGCGAGCAGAGTAACTCGTGCGAAATTGAACGGGTTGCCGGTCGGCGGCATGGTTACGTCAGGTACTGGCTCGTTTGATCTGAGGATCAGGAAGCTATCGCCAGGGCAAGAATCGGGAAGATGTGGTGTTGACGTTTTCGATGGGAACTGGCGCCCGGACTGGCGCTAGCCGAGGCATTCTTGGCATCTGATCGTCGACGAAGCAACGTTCGACAAACTGAGAAGCTGGTAATCTCATTGGTTCGCTCGCATTGGTTGTAGCTGGTTGTTGATTATCGTGGCTGACATGTGATGGGGACGCGTAAGACGGGCTCGGAGAGGTCCTCGATATTGGGTCGGAGGGACGACGAGGGGCCCAAAGGTAGAGAGAGGCATTGCGGACACTGACGGTTTGATTCCGTGGTATTGATGTTCTGCTGTCCGAAAGGAGTCGCGGTCAAGAGAGAAGTCGAAAACAGTTGCAAAGGGCGATGCCTGAATTTGGAGAATGATGTTGTGGCGGAGGAGGAAAATGCACATCATCCCCGCATTGTGCACGGGCCAGGCCTGTCAAACCCCACCACCAATTCTCACGAACGTCATTCTTGGCATCAACGACCAAACCCATCAACATTTCAACCATGTTCGGCTTTGTTGTCCTTCATGGCTTCTCTTGATAATGTGGGCTTGGTTTTACCATGTCGTGATATATAACGGTGCCATCGTGGGCCAATTCTTTGCCTAGGGAAGCATAGGACACTTCTAGGGGCTGCACCCGCTGTCGTCAATTGCAAACGGCGTTCAAACAAAGCCAATCGCATTGTTCTTTTCCCGTCGTTCAGTCTTGAAATATTTAATGCCAGACGGAGAAAAATGGGAGTTGGATGGACCGAACACCAAACTCTCATGGGCTCCCCGTTGTGAACACCACGGAAGGTCGTTGATCTTTCGGCCCAGGCCGGGGCCGGGCCCGGGATGGATCCAAAACGGGGCATCGAACGGCCATGCTCCGAGCACTGGCGCCGTTTTTGCGGGCCGGTCGCCAAACCCCCGAACCGTCAACGACCTCAAATCTGGACCGCATGACTTTAACAACATGAGTATAATTCTTGTACCCTTCCTACTCGAATATCCTCCTCCTCCTCGGCCACCCTCTCCCCTTCCCAACACCACCCTCCTTTTCTCTCTATCCCCCAGGCCAACCAGGCCAAAAATAAAGTCCATGCACCAGCTGGGCCTCCCTCCTCCTGGGACTTGCCTCCCTCACCACCGCCGCCTCCCTCCAGCAAGTAACAACCGAGTTTGGTCCCAACCCAACCAACGTCGGCTTCTACATCTACGTCCCCGACACCCTCGTCTCCAAGCCCGCCATCCTCGTCAACCCGCACTGGTGCCATGGCACCGCGCAAGCCGCCTACGCGGGCTCTCTGTACGCCGCCACCTGGGCCAACACACACGCATGGGTACATCGTCATCTACCCGAACTCGCCCAACGCGGCCGATCAGTGCTGGGACTTGTCTTCCAAGGAAGGCTTGACGCACGATGGGGGCGGTGATTCCCTGGGTATCGTTAGCATGGTCCGCTGGACTATCAAGAAGTATAACGCTGATGCGTCCCGGGTTTTTGTCACGGGCGTGTCGAGCGGCGGGATGATGACGAATCTGTTGGTGGGGGCGTATCCGGATGTGTTTGCTGCTGGAAGCGCCTTTGCTGGTGTGCCGTTTGAGTGCTATGCTTATCCGGGGAATAACTCGGGGGTGTATGGTTGGTGGAGTCATGATTGTGCTAAGAGACGGGTTATCCATACGGGCGCTGAGTAGAAGGCCATTGTCGAGGCGGCGTATCCGGGTTACAACGGGTGGAGGCCCAAGTTCCAGACGTTCTATGGGCCGGTAGACGAGACGGTGGATTATGTCAACTTTGGGGAGCAGATGAAGCAGTGGACTTCTGTGTTGGGGCTGAGTGAGATGCCGACGAAAGCCACGGCCAATACTCCCGTCAATGGGTGGACAAAGTACGACTATAGGACGGAGAGGAGGTTTGAGGCTTTCAGTGCGGCTGGTGTGAGCCATGGCATTCAGAATCAGGAGAGCACTGTGATGGCTTTTTTCCAACTAAACTGCAATACTGGATGCTTCTCTTGGGGACAGGGTGGTCAAGGGGGGTCCTTGCCATCGGTGTCAAGTTCACCAACAAAAAGCTCTAGCACCAGCACGGTCGGAGTGACGAGCTCGGTGAAAACCATTCTTACTACCACCAAGATCACGTCAACCACAAAGGCGGCCGTGACGACGACGGCTGCGGCAGGTGGGCAGACTTTGTGGGGGCAGTGGTAGGTGTATGCCTCGTTTTTTGTTTCATTCCATTCCTTCGTTCCCTTGGTGATGTCTAGCTAACATTCGTAACACGAAGTGGCGGTAACGGCTATACCGGGCCAACAGCTTGTGTGACAGGTACTTGCACCACGTATAACCCCCATTACGCCCAGGTAAGATTACAGCCCTGAAGATTCGAGTTCAACACCCTGTGGTCGATGTGTCGCAGTTTTCTGACTGTAGGCAGTGCACGCCAACATCTTGAATCTCATCGTCGGATGTTGAAGCTGTGGGTAGTACACGGCAATTGTCATCTACTGTCAAATACGATGCTATTTGGCTGTCTGTGGAAGGCGTCATTCCTTGAAGTATGCTCTTGTCAGTCGGAAGTTTGCAAGCTTCAAGAGGGCGTAATAAACTCACTTCATCCCACCAAGTCTCATATTGCCAATACACGAAACAAGCGGTTGGCTTGACATATACCCAACCCATCGTTTCGTAGTATTCTTCCGGCTGGTAATGGATCCAACCGGTCATGTCGCGGTACATCTTTACTCCCTCCGGGCTGAGTGTTGCCCAAGCCCATTTTATCCAACAAGAACCTCTGAATGTCAAGATTACTAGTGCATACAGCCAACATAAGAGGGTGATGTGACGTGTGACGAGGACCGGACAATGCACTTAACCCTCCCTCAGTACACGTACGAAATGGACAAAGGCCGACGGAGCTTGACTTCATCACGCTAACCCCGTTGTTCAGAAGATAGCAAATGATAGTGCTGTGGTTGAAGACAGTGCCGAGGTCCAAGGCATGCCAAAAATATCTTGGGCGTTTACCTGGTTCTCAGAAAGTGGGTTCTCGGATGTTGTCGAGAAAGGTGTAAGATGAGTCTCACGATGCTGTTTTTGGCTCATGGTGGTCGCTGTAGTCCTCAGGCTCGTACTCAACATACTTCTCGTAGTCATGCCAGTGATTGTAATCGGCGTAAGTCTCATAATCATCCCAGCTGCTTTCCCCATCGTACCCAGCCTCGCCATCGCCGTCGATGTCCCTTAATCTCAGAGGCCCGAAGCGCTTCATGATGCTCTTCCAAGCCTTGGTATGCTCTGGTTCGAATAATTGAGTGTAAGTTTCTGGTTTGTGCTGACATAGCTTCCGCCAAATTTGCTTCAAGCGGGCGCTCCGGGTTTTGTCAAGTTTGTTGGCTGTTCGAAGGTCAGAGTCGGCATTCTTCAACAAAGGCCGACGAGAGGTCCACGCTTGTTCCAGGTTGGCACCCGCAGCATGGGAGAGCTCAAGAGTTCGCAGGTTTCCAATCATAGCTGCCCAAAAGAGCGCTGTGGGTGAGCCGGTCTTGCAATCGAGCTTGTAGAGGACTGGGTTGAGGATGTCGTAAAAGCGCCGGCTGACCCTGACGAGTGACGCGAGTTCTTGGAACGACCCGAGATGGCGCGGGATCTCGTAGATCATTTCGAGTGGGAGGTTCTCCATGTTGTGTTTAGTGGTGGTCTGGGTTTTGGCCGATTTCCATAGACTCCGATGGAGCGTGAGGCTGTGGGTAGAATGTGAACCGGAAAACAAAGGATGGCAATATCGTCGCGTAGAGATGGTGTCTCTTCGGTCTCACAATAGAGGTAGAGAAAGGGCATCAACCCAAGTTGGTAGTGGAGTGGAATGCTGGATGTTCCCCTGGAGAAATTGGGACTCGTCGGACGGTCAGAAAAGAAAGGGAATTGTGTGTGAGCGGCGAAACAGGAGGTACTGCAGCCGGCCACAAACTGGTTAGGGCACGAGGCCCAAGTTACGTATTCTGGCACAAGGGGAAGGAACAATCTCCACTTGGAAGATTTTCGGCGCATATGGAACGTACAAGACTGAAGGAAGGTGCGCCTCGCAGGTCGTTCTGGGCAAACAGAAACGCCATGCCAACGGCAGGAAGTCGCATATTGCCAACCGATACTTACCTGTACCGGGAAGGCGGGGGTCTAGCGAACAGCAAATTGACTGTCAATTGATTGTTGGGGGGTCGTAAACGTTGGGATTTTTTCAAATGTTTTAGTGGCTGTTCGAAATTTTTTCAACATTTACCGAAATAAACGTTTAAATGCATCTAAGCGTTTATCCAGGCAAACGTTTTCCCTGCCAAGCGTTGGAACCCTACTAAACGTTAAAATTATTAAACATTTATAGTACATCAACCGTTCATTAAATATTTAATGAATATTCGGCCAAAGTAAACGTTTATATATTGTAAGCTTAAAATCTAGGCCTGAGAGAGCCCGGATCGGGTCCAGATTCTAGTCGGTACCCTATATAACCCTAACCCACCACCCGCCGCCCTACCTTACACCCGGTTAGCTAGCGCACTTCCTATACGAACCCAATGCACATACTAAGTAATTCAATCGCCAGCGCCACGCTAGGCAATACATATAGGCTACACTAATATTTCGCTACACTGCTAAAATTATACATTATAGGTATTACTTACGAAAATAATTAAATTAATAAAACGGTATTATAAAAATAACTAATACCTTTAGACTTAGGAAACTTATATAAAACTAAAATACTAGTCGACGTAAAGGAAATCTTTGCTATCTTCATTATATACCTATTCGCCGTCAGCTTGCTGTATAAATAGTATTATATATATATCCGTTATAATTATTCTAGAAAGCCCGACTATAAGGCTATCTTCGATATCATAAATTAGTAGGCTGGTAAAAGGGTTAACGAAGCCATTATATACTAGCTTAACGGACGAAATAATTAAGAAAACCCTAAATTATTCTATACTTATAAATATATAATAAATTAAAATTATTTATTAGTATTTTTAATTTCTTTTATACATACCGTAAATTACTTTATACGTAAAGATCTACTCTAGGCGTGCCTTAATCAAGCCAACGTTACCGCTAATATCAGTATACTCAAATTCGATAAATTCGCCCCTTTCCTTAGTAATACGCTTACTGGTTTTCTTAATTAAACCTACGGAAAAGGTTAGTATACTAACTTATATAGGGGCAGATTTGTCAATAGTAAGTAGAATATATATTCCAATATATACCCAAAGCTAGGGAAAATATCCTTATATAATAAAAGTACTACCTTATAGTATAGTATATAATCGAAAGCGTTAGTACACCGTATAGTAAAACGGTATTTATATTCTATAAAGCGTATTAACCACGTAGAGAAGGTATATATATATTTAGGAAAATACAATTTAGCTAAGGTAATTTCGCATAAAAAAAAATATTTTAAAACTTACGTATTATTCTACAATACCTTTTTCTACTACTTTAATTACTATAAACCCTTTATTAAGATAGTCAATACTCGATTATAATCGTCTTTATATACATTTATTAATTATTATCAGAACTAAGTATTTATTTTCATTTATTTAATTGGGAGGTGTACTGCACGAATAGCTTCCTAATTTAATCGAATAATTATATTAATATTATTATATTGAAGAGCATCGAAGGGTTTAAAATATAGCGATGGTTTAGCAATAACGGTAGCGGCAAATATCTCGTCCCAATCGGCGGCAATACCAAGCAATTATTTCGTGCTTGCAAGAATTGATAAAAATAGCAACGGAACGGCCTATTATAAAACCTTAATTTAATTGGCGAAGTCGGTCTCGTTATCGAATCTATTAAGGAAGAAGAATCGAATAGTTTATATAAAGAATTCCCAAGCAAACAAATCTTTTTCCGGAAATCGATAATTAATGTAGTAAATTACTTTCTTCTAAAGCTTAATATATATATGCATTAATATTATTCCCAGCGGCGACGTCAATTAATTTACTTATATTTTAATTCAAATACTATAACTATACAAATTAAAATAAGACCGTATTCATCTACGACATTAGGATAATAAAGATTAATATATACGTTCGGGCGTAATATAAAAAGCTAATACTTATTCGATTTAATTAACTTAAACCCAATAACGTCAACGGCGATCATTAACGTCTCTATATCTTCAACATTTTATAAAGCAATAACAATACTAACAACCGTCGGGCTAAATACTATTAAACCCGGGCTACTAACTACAATTAGAATAATATTTCCCAACGAATCGAAGAATATACTACAACGCTTTATAGCGGCTATTTTAATTACTTTTAATATAGCGCTAACGTACAATTAGAAAAGATATTAACTTTTTTTTACCTACTTAGTATAGGTATAATAGTCTCGATTTTTAGCCGGTAATTAATCAATAAACGTTAGGATATTAGTACGAACATTTTCAATAAATATTTTAATTAATACATCGACCTCATCTACTAAGCATCCAATTACCTATTTATTTAGATAATTATTAATTTCTTTCTTATATACCAATATAAAAGAATCAACAGTATACTTCTTAATAAATTTAAACTTCCTATAATTCCCTAGCCAAAAACGCAATACTAAAACGATTATTACCAACTATTATCCGCCTTCCCGGAGCGAATACAATAATATGTAGTATAGCAATTACAAGCTCCTCTAACCAATTAAACGAAGAAATCGACAGAGGGCTCTAATATAATGAGTATTGCCGGATAATATTAATATTTAGTCCATAAAAAGGATATATATTATTTTAATTAAATTACTAAATTCAGAATATATAGAATTAGGAGGGCGCGCTTTTATAATATCTAATACCGGGAATATATATATCAACTCGGGATCTTTAATAGCCAGGCCGAATTCATTAACCCTTACTTCGAATCTACCCTTATAGCTTTTACTTCCGACTATCGTAATTAACCTTAAAAACTTACGTTAACGTATAATTTCGTAATAGTATCATTAATTCTCGCTATTAGAAAGATCGAATTCTAAATTACCCTTATCGGTTAGGGTTACTTTATAAAATCGATACCTCTATTTAGCTATTAGACGACGGAATTTAAAGTTGTCTTACTATTAGGGAAAATTACTGATAATAACGAAAATTATCCCTAAAACGAAAATAGCTTATTCTCGGATATCGATAATTTAACCATTTTCAAACTTTCGAATGCTATACCCGAGTCTCACCTAGACTTATTCGTCATCGGAACTATAGGGCCCAATATAATAGGCGTAATATTCATCTATTTTAAACGATCCAGCTTTTTAAATATTATAATAGAAACGTATATACTTATAATAAATTTAGATATAGTACGATATAAACTGAACCCGTTAGTAAATAGTATAAATAATATTATACGTACCAGAATATTACGTGTAACGAGCGTATCGATTAAAATTTATCGTATAAATTCTTAAATTTCTAATTCCCTTCGAATTATATAGTATTTATATAGCAGAATAAAACGTTATAACAGTACGTTAACTTTTCGGCGTACTACAAGTTTAATTAATCTAATAATATATTATACTATATTACTGTCTAATTAAACGGAACTACCGAATACAAAATTATAATAGGTTTTGAAGTTTTGGAGGTAATATATTTTTATCGACGATACAAATATTATAAAATCTTCTAGAACAATATATTTATTATTTAGGATATATTATTCAGTTAGGAAGCTTTTTATTATAATAATTAATATTTATATACTTAATACGGTTTTTATTAATTAGACGAACGGTTCAATCCTATTTAAAATATTATTTTTTTCCGTTAAAGGGTCTTAACGTTAATTACACTATACTTCAACGATTTTACCAAAATAATATTTACTTGTATTATTACTAATTTCATAGGTTTTATATTTTTAATAATAATAAGTATATACAATTATATTAAATAGGAAAATAACTTTACTTTTTCAGGTATATACAGATTTACTAGAAATAATCCTAATCGACGATACTTATACCCTTAAATACTATAATTCGGTTAGATTATCGATTAATATAGCCATACTAAAATAGAATTAAATACTTATATTATTTTATAAAAAGAAATACATATATTATACAATATTAAAAAAAAAAAAGTCATATATCGTAATCTAGCTAATATATTCGATCTACTTACAACGAACGCTTACTAATTTCTCTATATTCATAAAGATTAGCGCTTTCCGGATTTCTATAAAGGGTAAGCGTTACTTTACCCTATTCTTTAGAGTAGTAATACTTACAAGTAATTTAAAAATAACATCGTATATTTCCTAGAATTGATTTACTACCGTATACCTTTATAGGATTTCTTTAAAGCTACTATACATTATATTGGAAATACTATTCAACTACGCCTATATGCCTAATACTATACTAAAATTGGATAATATAATACTTTTCCTATTATATAATAAAGGTTCAAAATTATCGCCTTCAATACTTCTACTTTACTAATACTATAACCTTCTACTAATTCTTATCTAACTATTAAAAGGGAGAGGCGGAGGAAGGGGCGGTATATACCGTATACTATATACAATATTATTAGAAATATAATTTAATAGTAGAGGATAGCAGGGGGTTAATATAATAATTATAGGCGGCAGTAACTTAACTAGTTCGACTTTTTCGTCCTCCTTATCGAAAACCTTATTATTATTAAATGGTTCATCAGGTATAAATTAATAATCGGCTAGCTACTACAACTCTTATATAATTAGAATATCTTCGTTATGAACAATTAAAATATTAATATCCAGATTATTATTTAATTATAGAATTCGCTCAATAAATTTAACATCGTGAAAATCCTTATATATATTAATTAACGATTTTTCTAGGTCGTACTCTAATATATATTAAATTTACGGTAGTACAGTTAAGAAAGGCGCTATTATCGAAGTCGAAATAATTAGAATTAAAATCCTATTACTCAATTCTTAGGATAATTAATTAGGTTAATAAATTAGGCTATTCGCTATATATTCGTAGTATTTCCGCTTAAATTACCGCCGCGATGAACGCTGCGAGCCGATACAATTATTATCCCAACGATATTTTAACCGGTAGGAGGAGAGGTAATAAAGAATTAAGGAGGGGTAATAAAATAAAGCAATATTATCGGTCGCCTACGCATATTACTTCTAACAACCGATATAAAATATAGCTTTATAATAATATTATCTACTTATATGGTAGGGTCGAAAAATAATAGTACGACGGACGATAATAATAGTAAAGTTAAAGTTGAGGTTGAGGTTTGCGACACAATAGTTAAAATTCAATTAAAGCTGTTGGAAGGTATCGATCGACGAGTGGATACGGTACGAAGGTAAGGTTAATACGGCTGTGTGGAGCGTTTAAAGTGGAGCAGAATGGTATGTAGAATGTGGAGAATAGTAGTAGATTGGTCGAGATATTGATGAGTGTCTAAGATACATTTCTTTTCCTCTTTCCTCGAGGGAAGCCCTCTTCAAATAGACTTTTTGGATCAATGAGTCATCGAGTGACAAAACCGTTTGTACCTTTAGAATCGTTATTTTCTGATGATTCCAACGGTAGTCTGGTTATTCTTATATGTTAGCCGTAGAGTCCGGAATTCGAATCCGAACGCAAAAGTCTTCTCGGACTTCTTTCTTCACTTCTACTCCATATGGTCGTCATATGACGAAACCGTTTATACGGTCGGAAACGTCGTGTTCCGTTCTTTCCAATAAAATTACGTATGACTTCGTTCGACTGACGTTGAGGCCGGAATTCGACTACGAAGGTCGAGGTCTAGATTTTCCTCTAGGTTTTCTTCCGGATTCTATTCAGGGTTGATCCCTGTTGCAAATCGAACATTTCTTTAGGACCGGAATTTTTCTCCGGTTATAAAAATAGTATTTATATATAAAAATATAAATTTTATTTTTCTACTTATATATTATTATATAAGCCCCTAAATCTAGTATAAGTCCATTATTATCATTATATATATATTAAGTCTATAATAACTAACAAAAGCTTTGGCCGGGCGCGGTACGGCTGTATTTTAAAATTGCCCAATTTTGAATTTATTTGCTAAAAATTATAGTTAACGTACGGCCTTTGATTACTTTGAGTACTTCGACTATATAGTAAATATAATTTTAGGAAGCGTGCAAAACGTAAGAAAAGGTAATAAAATATTTGTGAATTTTATTTTCGATCGTTAGAAAATTATATATAAATATACGAAGTATTGTAATTAATTAGTAGTAAATCGCTACTTACTTATTAATATACTTAGGTAAACCAGTAGTAAAATTCCCATTACACCAGTAATTATTATATTCTGCTACGCCTATTTTCCTAAAAAGTAATAATAGAATTAAATATTATAAGAATAATAATAATATAGAAATAATAATAAGGAAAAAAAAAAGAAAAAACGAAGTTGTGGAAAGAAACTTAGTATATTAGCCCGATAGAAATAATATAAATACAAACCTGACTTATTGGCGGTAAAATAGATCTTTATTTTCGTCCTCCTCTTCGGACTCCGAATTTTCGTCCTTAGTCGGAATAGCTGATATATTTTCCTTAACTTTCTTCTTTGCCCTCTTAGCCTTTCTCTTCGCCCTCTTAGCCTTTCTCTTCGCCCTCTTCTCCTTTTTCCTCGCCGCCCTTTCCATTTTCTTTTACAATTTCTATTAGGCTACGGCCCGGCGTTTAATTTCCTCGGCTCTCCGTTAAGCCTCTTCTTCATCCTCATCTTCGGAATCGGCGGGGATGGGAATAATAGTTATTTTAGCAATTAGAAATTCCCTAGATACCTTTTATACTTAAATATAATTTAGTATAGGTATTTATAATATAAGATATAATAAATAATATACGTTTTTATAAGGATTACACTTAATAGGCGTTTTCGTCTTAAAATTCGCTTAGGAAATGCTAATAGTAATAAAATACTTATAGGATGGAATGGCTTTGTAATTATTAAGGAGGGTTTCCTTCTACTTTATTTTTATAAGCAGATTTTCTGTACTACCCCAGATATAATTAATATATTGGAAGATAAGCTCCTACTAGTATTCTATATAGGTTACTAGTATATATCTACTTAGGATATAATAATATATTTATTACGATAATAAATACGATTAGAACGAAGGGAACCTTTAATATTAAGGAAGACCTTAATATATTTATAAGTAATATAGAAGTTTTCCCAATTCCAAGTATCCGATATCTTCTTTCGGATAATATCGTCCAGTATTCAGATAGAAGGATTTATAATATCTATATTACCCGTCTCCTCTATAGTCAAATCTTTTTAACTATACTTATAAAAATATTAATATAATAAATAGAATAAATAAAGTAATAAACTTATAAGAGCTACATAGATTATTTCGAATTAGACGCGGCGGTTGTTATTAATTAACTTCTTCTATAATATATCTTAGAACATATATTCGGGAATTTATAGAATATAATATTAATTATATTAAAGTCTATATATTATATTTCTAATAGTAATATTAGGATTTAATATACTATATTAAGTCCGTAAACAAACTTTATAATAGGAATAATACGGGCATTTTTAATTTCTCTATAAATAAAGTGCTCTAACTGTAATTCCTTATTTATGTGGGCTGCCTAAAGATTTCCTATTTCTTGGGCAGCGGTTATAACGTCGGGAATTTATTCGCCCAGGCGCCAACACTTTGCGGGAGCCTTCCGCTTAAAATAACCAGAGGTAAAGGTAGCTTCTCTATCCTATTATATTATTAACTACTATATATTATAAAAATTGAAGATATAATTAGGTATATTAACGTTACTATTAGTACTGTTAATACTATTATATATCTATAAATTCTTAATTAGAATAGCAATATGGTAAAATATTATATTGTAAATACGTACGGACGGCCTAATTTATTATTACTACTATTATTGCTACTATTGTTGCTACTATTATTGCGTAGAAGGAGGGGTAGAGGAAGTTTGACCGGCTAAGCGTTAGAAGGCGGCGAGGACGGCGTTGAGATTACTTCTATCTTACTTTTTTATTTACTTCTATATTAATATATTATATTATTGCGGTATATAGTATTATAATATTTATATTTAAATTCTTTAGAACTTCGGTAAATATTACCTAATTTATAGTAGCGCTACTACTAGGGGGTACGGGAGGACTACCTCTAAGGGGCAGAGCAGCTATTAGTATAGTAAAAGAAGAAAGAAAGACGGGAAAACGGATATATAAGGGTATAAGATATAAGGACGGGCGACGATAGTATAGGTATAAACGACGGGAATAATAAAGTTAATAAAGTAGGCGGGCGGTTGTAAGTAGTTTATCGGGTCGAAACTTTATAAATTAAAGGTATATCGCTGCCCAGAAATTATAAAGTGTACTATATACGAAGTCCGTGTATGCGCTTTACTACTATATACTATTAGAAATTTATATACCCTAACTTTTATTAAATATTTACATTTATAAACATTTTACTAATTTAAACATTATACTTCTATTACTATAAATATATAGTAAATAAATGGTTCAGTACCTACTAGTTATTAATTAATAATTTACCCCTTGCAAACGTTACCCCAACGCTAACCCATACCTAAACGTTTATTTATATCAACCATTTGGAAATATATCTGGCTATATCAACCGTTAATCAACGCTTCGTAAACGTTTGTTGCAAAACCAACTGTTAAATTACAGTTCGAAAATTTCAAACCATTTTCCTACTGTTCGCTAAACCCCCCCTTCCCGGTACGGTACCAGGACGGGAGCAAAGTGCCGTTTACTCATAATCACGGGACGTGGATCGGACTTTCGCATCGACTGAGTTTGATTACGTGCTCGGACTGCTCTTATTGCGCTTTCCAAACTTTACCTCTAGGTACGTACTTGATGCTATTCCAAAACAACCCCATTGTTGAGAACCATGACGAGAACCATCCAACCCCTGAGACATGACTCGATATGTTACCGGCAGTTTCGTTGACACCATTCCGTAAAACACACGCTGACCCATCGAGGGAAAGAAAAATGTAGACGCCTGCCCAAGTTGTCAACCTGCCCTGACTGTGATCCCCAGAGCACAGCAAGCCAGAGAAACATACCAGCACGAAATGGAGGACACTGACGATGTGCCGATAATTACCACTGTAGAGAAGAGCTTGTTAGCATCGCTTTATGCACGGACACCATTACCAGACGGCTGATGGACAGGAACACCTACAGTTTTGTCGTCGGTGAATTCGCTGGGCATATTCTTGGGTAAAATCAAACAACAGCCGTCGCCCCTCCGGGTTCTCAAAATTAATCACGCCGCCCAAGCGATTAGCCCAGCAAGACGCATCTGCATCGCATTCCAGCCGTGAACTTCCCGCAAAAAATCTTCCATATCCCGGCCCTCATCAGGCTCCTTGCACGCGACCAGCCCGAGGAGAGCGTGGACAAGGTATTTGAAATCCGCATGGTCTGGTCGCTCTGGCATGACGAGGAGAAGCGTGTCGCGGTCGCACCCTTGGTCGGGAGACGCAAAGGAAATGTCTTTTTGGCGGCAAAGCCCACGCGACATTCCATGTTGGACTCTGACTCCGTTCGCTACCAAATACCGAATGATTTCCTTGCGCCCAAAATAGACAGCGAGGTCAATGGGATGCCACCAGAACAGTGGGTGGAGTCGCGGGTCTCGGCTAAGGGGGTTCTCCCCGGCGAAGTCCGGGTTATCGGTTCTTTCGAGCTCGATTTTCAGGTGGAAGAAGTCATTGCGCCAGGTGTATCTAGAGTCTTGGGAGGCCGTCTTGAGGAGCGGCTGTCCGGCTTCGTCCTTATCTTTGGGCCAAAGATGGTCTTCTTCGGAGTTAGGGGCTTCTTCAAGTTCGTAGGGCTCTTCCCATGGACCTTCGTCCACCACCCATTCTGTGTCGCTTTCTTCGTCGTTTTGCTCCTCTTCGACCGGCTCCTCGGGCGCTTGGTCAGGCGGGTTTTGGTCCCATTCGTTGGTGAAGTCCCCTGGGACGACGTCAGGGATCTCAGGCCAGCCATTATTGGTTGCCTCATCACTGTTGTCTTTGTCGTCCGCAGGGTCTGTCAATCGGAGTGCAACTTTCTGGTAGAAATCCGGGCTATGGCGGTAAGGGTTGGGCGGAAGATCTCGGAGCGGCTCCTTGGATGCCCAGGCCTGGTTGAGTGCCGCCCCGGCTTTATGAACTAACTTGAGCGTTTCCAAGCTACCGACCTGGCAGGCCCAGAACAAGGCACACGGGCTTCCACTGCGTACATCCAGCTTGTAGAGCAAGGGGTTCAAGACTCGGTAAAACCACCTGTTGGTCCTGGCTAGGCTTGCCAGGTCAGCGAAGGAGTGACAGGACTCGGCGATCTGAAGTAGCGTTTCCACGGGAAGGCTTTCTAGAGTCCATGGTACTTTGGATGTCTGTTGGAGTGCCATGGTGGTCGATTTCCACGGGAGTTCGTTTTGATGGAGGCTGTGGCCATAAGCCAGAGGTAAGCAGTTAAGAACAGTGGTGTAGATGCTACTCTTTAAGACTGCTGGTGATGATGATTCGTATGGATATGGCAAGATGAGGGAAGCGAAAGAGTGGTACAATGGTGTGAAGACAGTTAAATACTGTTTAGCGAATGTTTGTGTGGTGATTCAGCGTCGAGCAGATGGATCTTCTGTATCAAATCGGGAGTTCAGAGGGTTTTATGCGGTGTTCATGTCCGTGGGATGACAGTCGGAAGAAGCTCGACTTTGAGGAAAAACGGGCGAATCCACCCTTAATGGTAAGCTCTTGCATTACTGTTGTTGCAAGAGGCCAGCTGCGGACCATGTAGAGGTGGCCCCTTGCGTGGGAGGGGGAAGGAAATAACATGACTGAGGAGGAGATGGGGAAGGAGATTTTCGGTAGCTTCAACTTCCTCCCTCAATTTCCACTCTGATGGACTCCAGTCAAGTTCAAAATACTCAACTCGGCGATGTAGCATTGTCCTCCGGATCTAGCAGGTCATTTTCCAGCTGATGGTTTCGACAGGGGGCGAAGGAGACAAGAGTTTGCTAACCCCATTCATATCTCAATTTGAGACTTTGAAGAATCCTCCTTAGTGATTCAGTAAAGATGGTTGATACTCGTCAGAGTCACTGGGTGAAGTGTCTGCCGCGTTGGAACATAAAACAGCTTCTGGCTTGATCCCGATTGCCAGTCTTCCTTTGATGCCCGGCCGCCGATGGAGAAGTTTCATTTACCAAAACGGCAATTGTGATGTGTAAGAGTTAGTGCGGTACGTACCTAAGTACTCATACACTGCCAAGGCTGTTGATAACGCGCTTCGTTAGCACTCTTTTAGCACGCATACAGCGAGGAGCCCTAACAGCAGGAAGAATCAGTGGTTACAGACACTAACAATTTCAAAATGCGGATTTCGCTAGCGTTGGGCACCAATTCCACTGTGCGACTTCCATTTTCTGCAGGCCTCTTTCTCCCACCATGACGGGATGTTCACAAAGTGACAACAAACACCAAGACAAAAGGGACGTAAAGATCCATGAATGCTGATCCCGAACTCCAGCAATTGCAGCGCATGTACTAACGGATTGACAGCCCAACACGGCTATTGCCATTTCTCCTCCCGACACGCCGACAGCGATAAACATGGCACCATTGCCCCCTGCACAATCTCCTGGCCATGCGGCAGATGGATCCAGCAGTTGGCATCGATGAACGGATACATCTTGCCCGGGCCTTGGTCCTTGGTCATGCGAACCACCTTATGTCGCCCATCTTCGCTCGCCGTCACCCGTCCGTGTCGGAAACAGTCCAGACAAAGCGGTCCGCAGTCGTTACCCATCGATGCCTCGACCGGTGCTCCCGCGTCCATGTTCGGTTCCGATTCCAGCCTCGTCGAACATCGCAGTTCCAACGTCGTCAGAAGCAGCTCGTCCAGCTTCTCTCCTCGGACAAACTGGAGGTACGGCACGATCAAGAACCGGAAACAAGCCGCCATCGCACAAGGGTCTCCCGGAAGCCCAAAGAAGGATACAAGTCCATTGTTGGGTGCGTTCGATTCGAGCGACGCAAACATGGCTGTGGCTCCCGGTCGCATGGCCACCCCGTGGAAGTGGAGTTGTCCTCCCAGCTTCTCGACCACGGATCTGACAAAGCCCGACCTGCCTGGCGTGGCTGACCCTGTCGTGACCAGAATATCGAACTTGTCCGTCGCCATCGTCTCGCGTAGTGCCTTTTCCAGTGCCGCCGGATCGTCGCTAGGCAGCAAGCCCAGAAAATGCGGCTCTGCTCCATATTCCTTCAAAGCTGCCATCAGGTAAGGCCCATCAGCATCATATGTATACCCGGTGTCGGTCCTCTTGGTTGCAATCGTTCCGTTGACATCGCTCCGCACGATTTCTCTGCCAGTTGACCACACCCCAACCCGAATCAGCGGCTCAACAGCGACCTCCCTGATCCCGACCGACGCCAGCGGCAACACATGGCTGGACCGTATCTTCATTCCCGCCCTTATCAGCCTGTCTCCCTTCCCGATATCTGCTCCGGCCCTCCGGCGGTTGGCATTGTGAGTAACCGGCTTGGTAAGCATGATGAACCTGTTGCCTAATTGCGGATCCGCCTTTGGTACTTCTGCCAGTGAGACTTCGCGGACGTCTGTTCCCCAAGCGCATGCGTCCATATGTATCAAGTGTTCGGTGGCCGTGTCGGGAAATCTGGCGCCGACCATGATTTCGTAGCATTGGAGAACACCGTCGGGTCCCCTACAGGGCGGCGTGGGTGGTGGTTTGTCGCCTGGCATGATCGTTCCTGCCACGCGAAAGTAGATCGGGTTCGTGGGCGAGGCGTTGATGGTGGCTGAGGATACCATTGCGAATCCGTCGGCAGCGGCCGTATCGAAGGCTGGTGTTGAGTCGGGGCTCAGAATGTCCTTGGCCGCTTTCCGCCCGACCGAATCTTCGAGTCGAACGAGCTCTTCCGTCCTCGTTCTGCGTTGGGACATATCGTAGGCCGCCTTTTGCAATTCCTGCAACGCAGCTTGGTACTGCATCGCCATTGTAGTGAGGTGTGTTGTATGCATTTTGGGCCTGGTTCTTGTCGAGTACTGGCATGCTCATGACGGACACTTGGAATTCGACTGGGGAGGATGGATAAATAGTTGAGGTTGTCAGGATGACGTCGATGAGGAGTCTCTCGAGTGCTCCCAGCTATCTGGGCAGTCGGGGCCACCTGCACGGTTCTCGAGGCTGCATCTCCGCCCTCTACTTTGCTACAAGTTTTGGTCACAGGCAGACAGGGTCTCGGTCGTCGTAACTCGGAGATTCTTTTGACGAATAACCTGTCTTCCAAGCTATAGAAATGATAGAATGTTTGCAGTGATACACTATAAAAGCCAAACCAAACGCTCATCCGCCGTCAGGACCATCTCCTGTCCGAATACAGCCTGCATATGCCTCAAGTGAGTCAAGTGACGTTACAAGATCTTTTGTCCCTCGACTCGCTATCGGAGTATTAGTATCCAATCTGTTCGCTTGTCCTCTTTAACCCTTTCCACGTTAGTTTCCCGTATGCATCGTGGTCTCTTTGTAAGTAGGCAGCTCAATCGGCTTTGTAGCCTGTTGATAGGTAGGCGGCACCTCCATAGATCCCGTGGTTGTAGGCTGATTGTTCACAACGCATTCGGTCTGCGGTTGATCCCTCATCATAAAGCCTTCGGTCTGTGCCGTCTGGCTTCCCACGCCGACGGTGTCACAGTTATCCCCCGGCTCCCGAGCAAGTATCTCGTACGTATCCCAACAGTTCTTGAAGCAGCACGTGTCGCACGTGCACACATCGGCGCACCACTTCCACCCGGGGATGCACCACTCCTTCACAATTATATCCATAAATTCCCACAGCAGACGAAGAGGCCAAAGCAGCGCGGTAAGCACGGCCAGGATAATGCGGCCGATGAATTTTGTGCGCGGCGCCACCATCGGCTGTCTTCTCTCATCGGGTTCCCCGAGCGAGATCCGTCCCAACTGTGTCCCAAAATAGAGGACCGCTACAATAAACCAGATTGTGCCGGCCATCGTCCAGATAATGACAGTGACTTCGTTGGGGTCACCTGTGGAGGTGGAAGCTGGTGCCGGGGCTGGTGATGAGGGTATCATGGTTTGGATGATGACGGGCATGACTGCGGGTATTGTCTCGGTGGTTTGCTGATTTGTTTTGTTCTGCTTATGTCGGGTGATGAAGGTGGGTGGGGACTTTGGATCTTCTGGAGAAAGGTCCAGGTTAGCACGGTTTCTGATGGAGTGGAAGGGAGGTGAAATTGTGGGATGGAAACCTACGATGGAAGAGCTGGTTGATGTAATGCAAATAACGATCTTGATTGCTGCTGGTGTCTGTCTCGGACAGGTTGGGGTTTGTTGCAGCTATTGGTGGATGATGGTTGATATTTCGGATGTTGGACTCGAGAACGAAGAAAAGAGGGAGAAACTGGAAGGAAGGAAAAGGACTCGGAATGTACCCGTTGGTGAGGCTGACAGTTCCTGTCTGTTCCCCAACTCTGCTCCACAGAGTTGGTGCCAAAACCACCGGACATGCCAAAACCCAACCGGATAGCAAAAATCGGGCATTTTCTATAGGGATTTTCTGTAGTATTTAATTATATAAAAACTAATAGTCCAAATATGACTAAAACTTGTATATGGGCTTACAAATAGTTATATAACGTAAATATAATTTTTATTTTATCCTCCTACCTAAGCTACAAGTTTTATTTCTTTTTTATTATAAGTATCAAAATTAGCTGTTTATATTAAAAATTCTATATAATTCTAAGATGCGTACAACCTTTTTATGTATTAGTATTAGTATATAAGCGTATAGCCGCTATATTATAAACTTCAACGCTACTTATAATAGGGTCTTAATATTTTTAAAATCATTTTTAAAATTCCGTATAATTATTATTTTAATTATAATTTTATATAATTAGTCCTAAATAGTTTATTAAACCGTGTACTATATTAATTCTAGTATATTTAGCTTGTTTGAAATATATACCAGGTTTAAAGGTTTATATATAAATTATTTCCATTTTTATCTAACCTTTATTTATAATTATTAATCATTTAATATCGAATTATTTATTTTAATTACTTTAATCGAATTAATTACCTTAGTATTCCATTTATATATTAACCGCGGTTATTAATGTAATTTAAAAGTAGTAGAATTATTTATTTAATTTTCGAATTAATTATATTATTACATTCTTTAAATTAATTACCTTATTTAAATTAATTATTTCATTATTTTATTTCTATATTAACCGTAGTTATTAACTTCGTACGAAGGTAATTAGTTTGCCTATCCGGTATTCAAATCGATTACTTTATTACGTTATTTAAATTTATTATTTTATTTTATTATTGAAATGGAGCAAAAACACACCACCATAGAAAAGCATAGCCTACCCAAAACCTTGGAGTGAAGTATTAATTTGAAGGTTAGGAATAGTTTCGCGAGGATGCTAGAATGAAGCCTCTAAACCGTAGCTATTAACCACCAAAGGAAGGAGGGGGAAGTAGAGCTTTACCCCTAAATTAGTTGCCCTAACGTTAGGAGCAAATCTAGAAATTAAATTTTTAAGGAGGGGATTACGAATAAACTCAACGCTTAAATGTTTTTGGGAACGAAGTTCAAATATATTCTACTAATCGAAATAATATTTAATTTAAACTACCTACTCTCTTCCTTCTTATTTTAAAGAGGAGTACTACCCTTTTTATCCCTAAAGATTTCTATTATAATTACTTACCTTCGGAGTTCGGGAGAGACAGTCCAATAGATCTACTCCTCCCTATCTAAATTACTCTACTTTTAATAACCTACTTGATTTATATTAAAAAAATCCAAAAGAATTCCCTAAATCAAACTTCCCTTTAAATCTAACTATAAATCCTCTTAACAAATTCATTAAAAAACTAAAACGTTAACTCTAAAAAATTAGTATAAAGAAAAATAATATAACCCCCTTTTTTTATTACTATATTTAAAAATTTACTCCTCAATTCCTATTCCTTCTCTACTTTACTTTCCTAATTCGTTTCTCTTATTACCTTACTTTTCTCTTATTAGCCTTCTTTTTTTAAACCCGCCTCCTTTTCTCCTTATTAATTACGTGCCGATCCGCCGGCACAATATCCTTAACGAATATCAAATCAATTTAATAGGGTAATAATATATCCTAATAGATCGAATCTCCGAAAGAAGGCTAATATTTAAACTCTATACTTATAACCCTTATCCCCTTAAAAACGGTCTTACCCTCTAAAAATTCTATATTTACTATAATTTTAGCCGGTAAATAAAAATTATTAATTATTACCCAATCTTTTATACTATATTTAACCCTTATTTCTAACCGCTTATAACGTACCCTTTTCTTACTCTTTATTTAAAAAAGAATTAAAATTTCCTTCGTCTTCGGGGGCACTGAAGGAATTATTAATTTAATACTTTCGAAATATAAATTAATTATTCTATTATTAATTAAGGCGGGTTAGAAGCTTTCGCTAAGTAAATTAATAATTTTTCCTACTTTTTTATCTTTCCTCTTTATTTATTACTAAATCCGAAAGTTTATTTTAAATTAAGGGAGAAAATTATATAAAAGATCGATATCGCGCTACTCCTTAGAGCCAATCCACTAACCTACTTTATTATACCCGTTCGAATATTTTAACCTCCTAAAATAAATAAGAATTTCACTAATCGGCTATTTATTATTAAATTAAATATAGTAATAAATTAATTCCTTCTCAACTTTCGATATTACTATACCTCTCTATTAAGTAACTAATATAACGTTATGTTATAGGGCTAGAGCCCAGGGGTTAAACTTGGCTGATGCCAAGCCGTATCCTGTATTATTAATAGGGAGCTTGCCTTATTGAAAGGGAGCCTGCCTTATCGATAGGGATACGAGCCTTCTAGTTGGCCAGACCCACATGACTGCCTGGCTCTTACGCTCCAAGCGACCTATATAAAACCTTCTTTTAATTGCACTCTTCTAATACAATCTTCCTTTTCCTCTTTATTAAATATAGTATTTTAACCTTATACAATTACTCGCTATATAATACTTTCATAGACCCGTTATATTATATTTAACCCTCTTTTTAAATACTCTATACCTCGCCTATACGCCTAAAGAGTTTCCTTCTTATTACTTTGGTCTTTTGTAATACCCTTTCTATATTATTTTCATTTCCTTTAGTAATACTATTGCTTTCGTTCCTTAATAGCAGCCTTTTACTATTGCTTTCGTCCCTTAACAATAATACCCCTCCTTCTATACTTTCGTATTTATATTACTATTCTCTCGTTATTACGCTAGGAAAGCTTCGTACTCGCTTCGTTCGATTTTGTTCGCTTATTTACAATTAATCCCGATTATAATTACTATTTAGACCCCCGTCCCTTTCGATAACAGTCTTAATTTTCTTCCTAAAATCCTTACGTAAATAGATTTGCTACCTACAATATAAATTGTCCGCTTACCTTTTCGTATACTATTTTAAATAGTAATACTTTCTTTTAGCCTTTGCTTCCTCTAGGTAGGCCCGGTTAGAGACGCCGACGATCTTTCGATATTAGCGTCGTTAGGAAAATTTTAAATTCTATTTAGATAAGAACATAGAAGAGGAGAGAGGATAATAGCGGTAATAGCCTTAGTCTGAAGAGTAATATTAGTTTCGTAGAAATAAAATTAATTTATTTCAATTTGGTAGGGGTTTAGATGGTTATAATAACAATAATTTAAAAAGAGGAGGAATTTAATTAAGTAATGGTTTTTATTAATAAGGTCAATAGGGGACGCTTTAATAAAATTATAGTAGAGGGAATATTAATGAGGTATTTAGAAGGAAGGATTTTTAATAGTTGGAAGAGGTAAAATTATAATGTAGGAAACGTTAATTCATTTACCTTCGTTATTAGTAGTATAAAAAGTCTTTAAATTATTACCCCTTTATATGTAATTAGCAGGAAATTAATATTTATTACGATATATAACTATAAGAAGGTAGTAAATATTATATTTTAAAGGTATAAGGATTATTAAAGTTGTTCTTTGGCGAGGGAATTATATTAAAGTATAGTTATAGTAGTAATAATAATTATTATTGGTAAGAGAACTAGAGCGATACAAAATATTAGGTGATTACTTTAATATTGATTATTATACGGTAGATGGATTTTTGTTTAGTAGAAGAGGGCCCGTAGATTAGGTAAGGTATAGATATATTCCCTAATTTAATTTTAGTTCCCGTATATTAGGGAAGTAACTTTGTGAGGGCAGGTATTTAGTAAGGTACCGCCAATTCGGGTAGTAAGTAAGTGGTTATATAGTATTTATTTAAGGGCTTAGAGAAGGGATTTTTAAATTTTCTAATATTATTAATTTCTTTCCTATTTAAATAGGTATTTGATTGGAAGCGGTTATTAATAGATTTCATTACTTTTATATAATTAACTAATACTTTATACGGTAGACCGCCTTTTTTAAGGGGGAGTAGGGGGGTAATATTATAGGGCTGGAACTTAGGGGTTAAGTTTGGTTAATACTAAGCTATATTTTGCATTATCGATAGGGAGTTTACTTTATTAATAGGGAACTTGCTTTATCGATAGGGATGCGAGCTTTTTAATTGGCTAAACACGTATGATTGCTTGGCCCGTGCGTTCTAAGCGACTTGTATAAAACCTTCTTTTAATTGTACCCTTCTGGTGCAGTCTTCCTTTTCCTCTTTGTTAAATATAGCATTTCAACCTTATACGACTGCTCGCTATGCAATACTCTCGCAGACTCGTTACACGTTATAGGCTATTCTTATCTATCATTTAACTATTACTTTTTCTAATTGGATTAGGTTGTTAATCTAAGTTTATTATTTCTAGTATATTCCGTTCTCCTAATATATAAGTACCCGGGAGGGGGCTCTTAGCCTATTATTTAATAGGTTTTTATAGGAAATTTCAATAAAAAATATCTTAATAGCCTCTATTACTTAAAGACTATATATTTAAATTAAATACTATTCGGAATATAATATATTTATTTAATAGATTTTATCGTTTATATTTTTAATCCACTCTCTGTTATTATCTTTGTATATATAATTTCTAATAGAATATTTTTTATCGGCTTTTTTTATCGCAAACTCCTCATTTTAATCGGTATCCGGGGTTAAATTAAAATAGAACTATCCAAATTCTCTTTAATTGAAGATAGTAAGGACGAAATAGTATTAATAATAAATCAGGAAATATTATTATTATATTTTTCCCAGCTAATATTTATAAATCAATTCTATACTGGGTAATTTATCGTTATTGTCAATATATACAATATTAAAGAGGAGGTAAATATAATCTCCGAATTAGTGAAATATCTAAATTAATCCGGTTATAATTAAGCCTCCTTCTAGTTAAGTAAAAGTATTGTAGGAGTACT